AGGGCATGAGTGACCGTGCGTAAAGAGTCCCGATCCAGAAAGGGACGCAACTGGCGAATCAGGCGAACCTGATGAAAAGTCCTCCTGGCTACGGCTGTCATGTGCTCTTCAAAAGACAGCCGTGAGTCCAGGAGGATGCCCAAGTTGCGAACCCCATCTGTGGGGGCCAACGACTTGCCCCCAATAGTCAGAGATGGCGCCAACTGACTATATCGGGACGACGGAAACCACAGCCACTCGGTCTTGGATGGGTTGAGTCTGAGTTTGTTCCTCCCCATCCAGATCCGTACGGCCTCCAGGCACTGGGACATCACCTCGAGGGCATCATTGGGGTGGTCTGGGGTGGAGATGTACAGCTGGGTGTCATCAGCATACTGATGGTACTTCACCCCAAAACCACGGATGATTTCACCCAACGGCTTCACATAAATGTTGAATAGAAGGGGCGAGAGGACCGATCCTTGTGGCACCCCACATATAAGGGGCCTCGGGGTCGACCTCTGCCCCCGTCAACACAGACTGCGACCAGTCAGAGAGAAAGGAGGAGAACCACTGTAGAACAGTGCCCCCCACCCCCAACCCTTCCAACCGGTGCAGCATGATATCATGATCGATGGTATCAAAAGCCGCTGAGAGGTCTAGTAGGACCAGGACAGAGGAGCAACCCCTGTCCTGAGCCCTCCAGAGATCATCAACCAATGCGACCAATGCTGTCTCAGTGCTGTACCCGGGCCTGAATCCCGACTGGAACGGATCTAGATAATTCGATTCATCCAGGTACTGAGGCAGTTGTCGTGCAACCACACTCTCAACAACCTTTGCAACAAAGCGAAGGTTGGAGACAGGACGATAATTTGCTAATACAGCTGGATCCAGGGAGGGTTTCTTGAGGAGGGGCCTCACCACCGCCTCTTTCAAGACGGTGGGAAAGACACCCTCACTCAAAGAAGCATTTATAATCTCCTGGAGCCAGCCTCGCGTCACCTCCCGGGAGGCCAGTACCAACCAGGATGGACACGGGTCCAATAAACGTGTGGTCGCATTTAGTCTGTTCAGTATCCTGTCCACGCTTTCGGGAGTCACAGGATCAAACTCTTCCCAAATAATATTCTCAGGACCTGCCCCTGTCATCTCCTCTGGATCAATCCAGTCAGTGTCTAGCTGTTCACGAATCTGAGCAATTTTGTCATACAGATATTGTACAAAATCCTCAGCTCTACCCTCCAAGGGGTCTTCCCGCGTCTCTTGATGGAGCAGAGAGCGGGTCACCCTAAACAGGGCGGCTGGGTGATTATCTGATGACGCAATAAGAGTAGAAAAGTAGTTACTCTTCTCTACTCTTATCGCCACTAGGTAATTCTTAATATGAGATCTTACCAGTGTTCGGTCGGATTCAGAACGACTAGCCCTCCAACTGCTCTCTATGCGTCTTTTCCGGCGCTTCATCTCCCTCAGCTCCTCAGTATACCAAGGAGCCAGGTGAGACCGGCGCCGGGTCAGAGGCCGCAAAGGCACGACTCGGTCTAAAGCATCAGCCGCCGCCCTATCCTAGGCGGCCACTAAGTCCTCAGCCGAGTCGTGTGCTAGAACCTCAGGAAATGGCCCAAGCTCCATCTGGAATCTCTCAGGATCCATCAGGCGCCTGGGGCGGAACCACCTGATCAGTTCCGCCTCCCTGCGGCGGGGTGTGGCGGTTCGAAGGTCCAGGCGAAGGAGGGAGTGATCTGACCATGACAAGGGTTCAGTCACTATATCCCCTATCTCGAGATCATTCGACCACTGTCCAGAGACAAAAACAAGGTCCAGTGTGTGTCCCCCCATGTGAGTAGAGCCATAAATTAACTGGGTCAGGTCCATAGCCGTCATGAAAGCCATGAACTCCCGAGCCACCTCAGATGTCTCGCCAACTGATGACAGGTTAAAATCCCCCATGACCATAAGCCTGGGGGTGTCAACAGCCACCGCGGCTATAACATCAAGCAGCTCAGGCAGGGCTGCTGCCACATGGCAGGGAGCCAGGTACGTGACTAGATGGCCCATGCTTCCCCCCCATTTTGAATTGAAGTCTGTCCAATTGGGGGCGCAAGCAACGCGGCACGGCAAACTTGTGCTAAGTGACCCTTCTTCCCACACCGTCTACAAATGGTGTTTTTATGGCGACATATAGCTCTTGGATGGTTTCCGCCGCACCCTATACACGAGAACAACTTTCGATCCTCTGTCCATCTACACTCCTTGCTAGCCGCTCTCAACCGATGGACATCATCATGATTTTTTCCCTCATCTTCAGTGTCCTCCCGTAATTCCGCCTCTCCCCGATGGACAGTTTCCCCCCTTCTAGCCCCCAGGGGGCTGCCCGACTTCTGTATTTCTTCTGTCGATCTATTCGATGATTCAGCGGCTTGTGCCTCCTCTACTGCTGTCTGTAGCGTTAATGTTGGTTTCGCCAATAATCGCCTCTGTAACCGGACATCCCGAACCCCACAGACCAATCTGTCTCGAAGGGCTTCATCTAAGTTGCTAAATTCACAATAGACAGCTGCTTTCCTGAGGGCTGCCATATAACAACTGATAGACTCACCCTCTGCCTGGTCCCTATGGTAAAAAGCATGTCTTCTAGCAATACAAAATGGTCGAGGAGCATAATGTTCCCTCAATTTGCTTAATAATATGTCCCAAGGAACTGTCTGCAGGGGTTGGGGCGCAATGAGGGCCCTCGCTGTCTCAAATACTTCTTTTCCACAAATGCTCAAAAAAAGTGCTCGTTTACGATTGTCTGTGATATTTGTATAGTCATTAGCTTCCAATATATAGTCAAAAAGGATTAGATAAGAATCCCACATCTGTGTTTCAGGATCAAACAGAACAAACTGTAGTGAGTTAGCCATTCTCTTTCCAAAACAACAGTCTCCACTCACATGTGCGTCTTTTATCTCTACGTTGGCTCAGGGCCCAGCGATCCCATCCTCGTCGCCAATGGAATGTGTGAGAGTAGGAATACAGATGAGAAGCCAAACTTCAAACAGTCATGTTTATTGCAGACAATGACTCAGTAAAACCAACATGCAATTTCCGGCTGATAGCCCCTTTTAAAGGAAAACTATCAGCCTTTAACCAATAACATTAAAATATGTCCCACACCTGCGTGGCAGAAGAAAAGTCTCTGCTCACGCCTGCACAGACATAACAATGTGAATCATGGTTCACGGAAAAACCTCTCTCCGCAGAACAGGTTCCTGGTGCCCAAAAGATTGGGGGCCACTGATCTAACCTACATTTTTCTATCTTATCAAGTAGTAGGTTGTGGTCTATTTTATCAAATGCCTTATACTGTAGCTGGTTATGTTGCCAGACATGTTTAGATAAACTTGTGTGGGTATCTATTTTGCTGTTTCTTTTATTTTTCTGGATTGTTGCAATGCATTTGTAGTTATCTGAATAAATTAGATACGCAGTTGTTACTTTGCTAAGGTAGCTTGTGTTTCTAATTTGCTGCCATTTCCTCTGCTGAGGATGTCCAAGTCAAATTCTTGGTGACAATACTGAAGCTGTGGCCACTGGGTTTTTACCCAAGAATTGCCCCTCAAGTCCTCCAGGGGAAACACAGATTGACCCTTTGGTGTCCCCCATTCAAGGAAGCGATGGCCTTGAAGATGTGGGTCCCTTCTCGGAATGGGACGGCTTGGCCGGCACCACCAGCTCAGCGCGAGCACCTGGGTGCGGCCTTCACACTACCACCATCTCAACACGGGAAAGCCACGGTGGGGACGCTACAGGTAGGCAAGCAAGCCGGCTGTAAAGAGGGTGATGGCCTTTCTTTACTTCGAGAGAGAGGCGCATCGGGGCACCCTTGCCCAGGGGTGGTTTGTGGCTTGAGGAAAAACAAATGTGCAGAGGGGACGTGCAGAGGTGGTGGCTTCAAAATGGGGAATGGGAAGCAGCCAAGTCTTCTCTGCAAGGGTTTTTTTTAGCCACAAAGCACTCCGCCAACTGGGAGGCCCCGTAGATCATCTATCCAGCGCCAGAACTCACCGCCGCTGCCCTGGCAGTCTGCCCCCTTGCTCTCTATCCGGGGCCCGCAGCGAATCGCCGGTGTTGAGATATCCTGCAACAAGATGGCGGCAGCGAGAAAGCTGCCCCCTGCTGGCCGCGTGGAACTGCCGACGTTGAGCCACCCCAGACCCCACGTCCTTCTGGACAGTCACCTGACCCAGGGAGCCAATAGGGGGGAAGAAGGGCAGGACTGTGGTCAGGAGTTGGCGAAGGAGGCCTCGCCTCAGGCAGGTTAGTTGAGTTAGTGAGGGTCTCTTGTATTTAAATGGCATTTCAATTTCTGCAGATTTCTGTGTTTCTGCAAGCCGTTCGGTGTCACCTGAAGATTTTCTTAATAAATTAATACATCAATGATGCCTTTGGATTTTGGTTGACCAGGCTGAGCTCCCAACTCCCACAGTTGCCGCTGGCTTTCCCTTTTTCCTTTCAGGCTCCTCCTCCGGCTCCCGAAGTGTTGCATGTTGAAAATACCTAACTATATGTACATATTTAAAGTCATGTAAGGGTTAATCATCCACACATCAATTGTCCCACCCACTGACTCCTCCTTACCATTTGACTCCTCCTACTGTGTATATATTCTGATGTCCTGAACAGTTCCTTTGACTTGCCTGATGATCTCCTGCAATAGAAACAAAGAAATAAATACTGTTTATGTTCTCATGACTTGCATCCTGATTATTGGGCCTATATAAGAAAAATAAAAGAAACACGAAGTGGGGGGGGGGGGAGGGAGGGGAAGCAGCGGCGGCGGCACTTGAGGGTCTTCCCTCCCCCTCCAACCCCAACCGCCTACGGGGAACTCAACCCAGAAAAAGACCTGCCGGAAGCCCAAGCTCCTGGCGCCCGCCCGCCTTTATGACGCCACAAGCCAAACACGCCCGAAAGAGGGAGGGGCGTCTCCTTCCTGCCCCGCCCCCTCTCCCCGATTGGCTCTATTTAAAAACGGGGCGGTGCAACGGATGCTGGGAAGTGGAGGGAACGTTTGAACCGCTCTGGGCGAGAGGTCGGGGCGGCGCGATGAAGGCGGCGGCGTAAGTTTTCCCCGCTCCTTTCGGAGGGCCGCGGTGGGCGATGCGGCGCGTAGCCCGAGGCTTCTTCCCCGACGGAGCTGCTTCACCCGGGGCTGCTCCGGCCTTGGCCTGGGGTTCCGGGGGAGCAGCGGTGCGAAGGAGCTGGGCCGTCGGCCGTCGCGGAGGAGAAGCCCGGCCCGACTTCCCTGGCCCTGTGGGAGTTCAGATGGATAGAGGGCCCCTTTCTCTGGGAAGGGAAATCCCGGCTCGCCTTCTACCATGCGCATAGCCAGGCCTCTTTATCCGCTTTAATGCCTGTTTCTCTTTTATCCTGTTCCCATAGAGCAGTTGCCAGGAAAGGGACAGGCCCCGCTTACTGGGATTTTGAATTGCCTGCTTCTAGGCAGATTTTACTGGCCTGTCAGTTTGGGGGAGTCCGGTTAAGGCTTTTAGGAAGTGTGCTACATTTGCAAAAGGCAAGGCTTGAAGCTGTGTATGATTACCTTCCCCAAGTGATGCTTTCTAGATGTAGAAATAAAATTCCTATCCCCCCCCCTTCACAACTGGTGTATTTACTACTTTATGTGTTCTTCTAAACGAAAGCAGTGGGATCTGGCACAATAGTCAACTGCTGTACAGGTATAGGAATGGAATCATCAGCCTTTTCAGATAAAGGGTACAGTATTAAGGTACACACTGATAGGATTTTCACAATTAAAGAGATTTGGCCTTTGTGAGACAGTAGAAGAATGGTGGGTTTTAAATCTACCAAAATTCTGGTGGAAAATAGACCAATCTTCCCAGCTTTCATTTTCATTCGTGGATTTGGGTTTTCTGTTCACAATAGTTAATCCAGAAATGTGGAAAAGTTGAGCAATTTTTTTTCTTGCAAGAAGAGTGATTAAAGCAAGAGTGGTGACAGCACTCTCAACAAGAAGATTTTGCATGCAGTTGTTATGGATATTCGAAGGCATCTTCTAAGTAACATGTCCACGCATTCTTCACATCGTTTATTAGTATTAATAAAGTAATACCACTTGTATTAGCTGCTTTTAAAAGCCTCTGTGGCTGCTTTGGTCTTCCTCTGCATTGCTGCAATAGAGCATTTCATAGATCAGTTGAGTTGATTGCCTTGTGTAGTGTGCATCTTTGATTTTATTTGTAACTTATCTGACATTTATTAACTTCCAGAAGAACTAAAACTCCTAGGAAACATGCATTTAAAAAAGCATCTAACAATAGTTTGAAGGATCCTGTTGGGGTAAGTGGCTGATTTACAGCAGAATTTTTAATCTGTACTTGCATATTATAGAATTTGACTCTGAAAGCTGCTTGCTTCTTTATTTTATTAATGCATTATTTCCTTGATTCTGGGTAAGTGGTTTTTCATCCAGCTATGATAAGGTTGTTTTAAACCCCAGAAACGTCTGGTATCAAGGCGATTTCAAAGATTGCCAACCTAAAAAGATCGATGCCTTAATCGAAGCACATATGAGCTACAAACCATTGGACTGATCTTCTGATGCTAGTTCAAATGGTCCTCAACTTAGGACCAGTTGCTTAGCGGCTGTTTAAAGTTACAATGTATCCCCCAAAATGGAACTTACTACTGGTTTTAAAATTCTAAAACTAATAAAATAATAGGGTTGTTTTATGGGTGCTGGTTTGCATAATGACCATTGCAAAAAAGGTGGTAAAAATCAGGTAGTCATGTGACCCAACTTAAAACTGAAATTGTGGGTTCAATTGTGGTACGTTGAGGACTAGTTGTAAAGACTTTCCATTTTGATATTTGCTCCGTAAACAAGGAGGACAGTCTTAAGCTGGTGTATCTAAATAGGGCACTTTTTTCTCTGTTCAGGTATATTGCCGGGTCCGTCCAGTCGGTGTATCAAACCAAGAGTGTTGCATAGAAGTGATCAGCAGCACGACAGTCCAAGTTCACTCACCTGATGGGTACCGTATTGCCCGTAATGGAGAATATAAAGAGGTAGTTTTCATTGAAAATGTGCTATTGTTAACTATGGGTTTCAATCTACAATTTTATTAGGATTGTGTCATTTAAGGCAGCTGCATTTATCATAGTCTGTATGCATAGGATTGGAATTCCTTTTTGAATTACCGTATTTTTCAGTGTATGATGCACTCCCCCCCCCAAAAAAAGTGGGTTGAAATGTCTGTGCGTCTTATAGAGTGCATGTTGCTGAAGCCCCACCCACCTGGCGGCCCCCACTCTTCGGCCTCTGCCTCCTAGCAATTTGACTCCTTGCAGCAAACAGCCTGGTCAGCTTCAGCACAGCCTGATTTGGCACGAACAGCTGATTGGCGGTTGGATCTGCCTCCCAGAATACTGGCAATCAGCTGTTCCAGGCTGCAGGGATTGATTCCGGGTGCCCCATTTTTGGCCCATTCCAGGTGGCGGGGATAGGCGGCAGCGGTGGCATTGCCTGCTACCTGGAACAGGCTGAAAACGGGACGTGAGGAGGCCAAAAATGGGGTGCGAGGCGGCAATGGGCAGCAGTGATCCCCGCAGCTTGGAACAGCTGATCGGCAGTATTCCGGGAGGCAGATCCAAATCCCAATCAGCTGCTTGTGCTAAATCAGGCTGTGCTGAAGCGGACCAGGCTGTTTGCTCTTTGCTACAAGAAGGCAAATTGCTGGGAGGCAGGCAGATATTTTTTTTTTTCTTGTTTTCCTCCCCAAAGGCTAGGTGCGTCTTGTAGTCCGGAGCATCTTATAGTTTGAAAAATACGGTCATGCTCAGTGGCTAAGACGCTGAGCTTGTCAATCGAAAGGTTGGCAGTTCAGCGGTTCGAATCCCTAGTGCCATGTAATGGGGTGAGCTCCCGTTACTTGTCCCAGCTTCTGCCAAGCTAGCAGTTTGAAAGCACGTAAAAAATGCAAGTAGAAAAATAGGGACCACCTTTGGTGGGAAGGTAAGAGTGTTCTGTGCGCCTTTGGCATTTAGTCATGCTGGCCACATGACCATGGAGATGTCTTCGGACAGCACTGGCACTTTGGCTTTGAAACGGAGATGAGCACCACCCCCTAAAGTCAGGAAAGACTACCACATATGTGCATGGGGAACCTTTACCTTTTAATCATACTAAGGTTCTTTTTAGTGATTCTGTTGCTGGAAATACATAATGGATGAAGAAAAACGTGCTTTTGGGAAGACTGATTAATCTACCAAATAGCATTCAGCATTATTACAGGAAAATAAAAACTTTTATATATTTTTTTTGTACTAGTTACTTTTTCCCAAGAAAATAGGAAAAGGACCACAGTTGTTATTGTTGGAGCATTAGATAAATTGACCATGAAATAGTTGTGCATTCAAAACTTTGATGCAGTATGAAAGTAAATGAGAGGACTAGGTGAAACAGCAAATAAGAAACTGCTGGTTAATTGCTTCCTAACTGTTAAACTTTTTTTCCAGGTTCAGTATTCATTTAAAGAAGTGTTTAGCACAAGCATTTCTCAGAAACATGTATTTGATGTGGTTGCTAAACCTCTAGTGGAAGATCTTATCCGTGGAAAAAATGGTATGATGTAATTAAGTTATTAAGACTGAATTTCTCTGGACTAGCAATATGAATCTTTCCCCCCCAACAAAGAATTACATTAGTTCATATAATTGATTCAAAATTCCTGCTTCCTATTGCAGTTTTTAATTTAATTATACTAACAGCAAGTTCAAACAATGCAATTACAGTAATATAGCAATAGCACTCAAATCCACAGTGCTTTACAGTACTCTGAGTCGTTTATAGAGTCAGCCTCTTGCCCCCAACAATCTGAGTCCTCATTTTACCAATGTTGGAAGGATGGAAGGCTGAATCAACCTTGAGTTGGTCAGGATCAAACTCCTGACAGTGGGCAGAGTTAGCCTGCAATACTGCATTCTAACCACTGTGCCACTCTATATTATAGTATTAAGCAGCTTGCAAAAATTGTATTATATTAACAAGATACAGGTATTTTTCACTTACTGACCAGTGACCGTTAAAAGTTACGATAACATTGAAAAATTAGACTTACAAGTGGTCCTCAAAGTTGTGTCCATTGCAATGTTCCAGGGGTCATGTGATTTAGGTGCTTGTAATGGTTATAGTAGACTTCAATCAAATAAAATATATTTGCAACCTTAACAGTTTGCTTCCAATGAACAAACTTAATGGGAAAGTCAGCAGAAAGTTGCAACTCATAGTCCTGTGATGTTGCACTTAAGAACCATTGATTCATGTAACTGGTCAGACCTGATGTGAGTTGGCATGATCACTGATGTTGTGTTCAACAACTGTGCCATTGAAAGATGGACTTCCTGATCTCAATTGCAGTTAGTAAATAAGGTCATATCAGTAGTGGAAATCTGTTTCTGTACTTGGAACATGTGAATGATTTTTTAAATGTTATCTAATTCTGGGTTTTATTTAATTGACCAAACTAAGTAATAATTTTAATTAGCAATTTTATGATGTTTGTGTGTCTATATTTTTCTTGACTGTACACCGCCTTGAGTCCTACGGAAGAAAGGCGGTATAGAAATAAAATAAAATAAAATAAAATAAAATAAAATAAATAAATAAATAAATAAATAAATAAATAAACAAACAAACAAACCTTTGCTTTTTCTTCCAGTAATTCATTTACTCTACATTTGTCACATATGTAATTTGGGTACTCCATTGGCATAAATACATATATGAAACATATTGTACAAGTCATAACAGTCAGTTTCTTTTTCCATGAGTATGTTTCTTTTCCCTGGTTCTTTTAAGGATTAATTTTTTAAAGGATTTTTAAAGGATTTTTTGTAATTTTAAAACTTACAAAATGTTCAAGAAATGCATAAGATATTTCCCAGAAATAAATAAATAAAATTCTAATATAAAATTTAAAATTCTAAAATATTGTTAAAAATTTCAAAACTTAAAAATTTCTAGTTATTTTTTTAAAAAAAATAAAATTTCTGGAAGTTCTTCCAAAATTAAAAACTTTAAACATTTTAAAAATTCCCAAAACTTTAGAATAATTTTTTTTCTTATTTTTATTAAGCCAAACATTTTATTCAATGTTAGTCTTTTGGTCACTCCTATAGCTAATGTTGAGTAGGACTTAAATGCAGGTTGTCCTCTAGATTTAACTTGTAATATGCAAATGTATAAAAATAATAAATTAATTTGAATTGATATTAAAAGTGGAAAAAAATAGTTCATATTGAAAAGTTAAGAAAATGCAGATGTTATCATACAAAGGAGGAGAGAATAAATGCTGAGTCGGTTATCTCTTGACAAATCACACCAACTCGGCATTTATTATCTCTTTCTTTGAGTGTGGTAAGAGTGGTAAGCACCCCTGGGGATGGTTGGTGGCTTGAGGGTGCTCTTTCCAAAACACTATTTTTGTAAGGGAGGGTTGTGGGGTTTTTTGTAAGCCGCTCAAGAGTCACTTAGTGAGATGGGTGGTGTATAAATTTGATTAATAAATAAATAATGAAATAAAATATAGCTTCCTGACTCCTGTTTAAGGTATAAGGATTTCATAATTTTTCTTATTATTTTAATTTCTTAAATTTGAATGTTCTCCCTGTTCTAGGCAAATTAAGGAACATAACCTAAAATTATTTGCCGTATCAAGAATAAGATAAATGTGAATAAGGTGCTCAAAATTAAATTGTGAGGTGTTCTATGTATTCCATTATTTACATAAATTGATACAAAATTGAAATGAATTTCTCTATGCAATTGTCACTGCACAGATGCTGTTTGCATGGATACACTTATTTAAGGTTACCATTCAATTCTTGCTACAACTGAGGGCTGGAAAAGTTTCAAGAATTTAACTCTTCATTGGACTCAGCTTGAGAGTTATCGTTTGTTCCCATTGCTTAGATCTCAGTTTCAGGACCAACATTTAATAGTACAATTTATATACACATAGACTATTAGGTTGTGGATTTAATTCTGATTCTTCTACCAATGCAATGTATTATTTATGGCATAATGTACTTTAAAAATAGCAAGTAAATCATACGTCCAGGGAGTATTATTCGGGGAGTAAACTAGATTTGCCATAATACTGTTACAGTGTAGAATAATAAGGCTAGAAGGACTTTGGAGGTCTTCTACTGCTTGAGCAGGAGACCACCTGCCAAGTTTTTTTTTAAAGTTGGATTTACTTCATAATGCTTTATTTTATTCAACTTAAAACAATTTCATGCAATAAAGGTAGGAAAAATCTGATTTACAATGGTAGATTTTTAAGAAGAGGTTGGATAGCCCTTTGTCTGAAGTGGTGTAGGGTTTCCTGCCTAAGCAGAGGGTTGGACTAGAAGACCTCCAAGGTCCCTTCCAACTCTGTTAGTCTAAATTTCTAAGATTGATTTGTGATGGTCAACATTTAATTTAGCAAATTATTTTTTCCCCTCAAGAGTTAGGGAAGAAGACTTGGGTAATTACTCAAAATTTGGAATTGTTCTGTTAAATATTCCAAGCCATTTTTCTTTTAAATTCTAATTTAATTAAGTTATGTTAGATTGTTAATACACTTATATCTATCCTTTCCCGTTCTTGCTTAGATGCAATAACTAATTAAAAAAACAACATGAACAACTTATTTCCTGCTATACTACTAACTATTAGTAATAATAGTGCATAATGGAAATTTGTCAAAGAAGGGTTACCATAAGTAGCTTAATCATAGTGCTCAAAACTATGAATAAAGTTCCCAGAACACATATATACCGTAATTTTGAGCTCAGGATTACCTTTTCAAATTTGAAAAGAGGATTGAATATGGTAGTAAAAGATCTCATTTGTAAGACTGAAAAAATTAAAAAAAAAAAACTTGGAAGAAGGCATTAGGAAAAAACATATCTGATTCATTGCCAAGACGACCGCATGGATCTTCTTCAGTCTGTTCCTTTAGAATGAAATATGCCTAAATTACACTGCTCAAAAAAAATAAAGGGAACACAAGCAGAAGACATCCGAGATCTGAATGAATGAAATAGCCTTATTAAATACTTTGTTCGTTACATACAGTAGTTTTGTGTTCCCTTTAGATGTTTGAGCAGTGTATAAACTACTGTATGTAAAGAACGAAGTATTTAATAAGACTATTTCATTCATTCAGATCTCGGATGTCTTCTGCTTGTGTTCCCTTTATTTTTTTGAGCAGTATATATTGCTCAGGGCTTGAAAACATCTGTTTATAAACTGTCTCTAGTGCTGATGCAGTTTTGAACACTTGGCACAATTTTTAAAAACTACTGCAAGTTCTCTTTCATGCCAATTTCTTCAAAAGAAACTTAAGAAAATAATTTTTCAACCTCCCCTTGTTTAATGTTTTTCTGAGAATTAGGTTTTAGACCAGAAGATCCATCTCATAACTCTTTCTTCATGCACATTGATTGTACTTGTTAACTGCATTGCAAAGTCCATTGACAACTGATGATTTGGACATCTTGGTAACTTGTGCTATGTTTAAAAGTTTCTCATTAGATGGCAAAAAATGATGGTAAAGTATTTTCATACAGTATATAACAAAATTGTGTCTCTGTGCTTTTGAATTCTAGGCCTCCTTTTTACATATGGAGTCACGGGGAGTGGAAAAACACACACTATGACAGGATCACCTGGTGAGGGAGGTCTGCTTCCTCGTTGCTTGGACATGATCTTCAACAGCATAGCGCCTTTTCAGGCCAAGCGCTACGTGAGTTCAGTCTCCAAGTCTTGGGAATTGGCAGGTTAGCACAAATAAATACAAGGGCTTAAAAATTGACAGCCATAAGACCCTGAGGAAAAGAAGGAGAAGAAAAATTGGGAAAGAGAAGGAAAAAGCAAGTGGAGATGAAGAATCCCCCCTATTTCCACAAACAGTTTTCTGAAAATAGGTTGTTCTGAAGGTAGTATCTGATTGTATTTGATGCATTTTGAACTTGTTAAAATTGTGGTAGTGAGTTGAGAGAGTGAGGCAGGTCTGCCAGTCTCAAGTAAAGTCATCCCTTTTCAACTGAACTCAAGAATTCTGGCCAGGATCGGGAGCTTAACTGCTTTCATTACTGTCGCATAACTAGTTAAATAACACTTTCTGGGTATCTCTTGGCAAGGAACTCCTTATTTTTCCTGTGACCTTTAATCCCCAGGTCTTCAAACTTGATGATAAGAATGGAGTTGAGGTACAATGTGAAGTGGATGCTTTACTTGAACGCCAGAAGAGAGAAGCACTTCCAGTTCCCAAGACACTGGGCAAGTAAGTGGCTCTGACTGACTGGGATAATTCAGGAATGTTATAGATGCTTCATTGAAGCAATAACTGCAGATGATTCTCACCTTGGCAGGCGACAAGTAGACCCTGAAATTGCTGACATGATCAATGTGCAAGATAATTGTAGACTGGAAGATGTTGATGAAGACAGTGTCTACAGTGTGTTTGTGTCTTACATTGAAATCTATAACAACTACATTTATGATCTTTTGGATGAATCTCCGCTTGATCCCACAAAACCAAAGTGAGTAGTTTTTCTTCAATCGGGAACTATGCTAACAAGCCAGTTATAGTAAATGCATGTAAAATTGTGGTTCAGTGATTTAGATTCAAGGAACGGTAATGTATATAGTAGATTATAGATAGTGGTTGATGGCTTGGGAAAAACAGGCTCTGTCTTAGCCCCTCGGGAGACGCCAGTGCTTCAAATACCCCTCAAATACTCCTCGACACTCTGTCCGGTTCTAAGCCTATCTGAACAGTAGCATCCTACTGTTTTGAGCTCTAAATTTGGAGAGATGTAGCTTTCCCATGTTCATAGCCTTTGGAAATAGCCTTTTAAAAGTCTGCTTTATCAAAAGACATTGCTAAGTAGGACTTGCTTTTAAGGCTGTTGTTTCTCCTGTTGACACTCTGGTTTAGCCTGGTTTAATTATCAGTTGTTGCCAAAATTTGGACAATTCTTTAACAGGGCACAGGAATGTTTTCTGAGACTTAGTAGCTGTCATGATAACAGTGGTTCTTAGGAAAATGCTCTTCAGCTAAATATTTAGTAACAAGGAAAGTCACTGGGGGAAATTATTTTCTTTGGTAGGTGGAACAACTGTGGCACTCCACTGCGGAATGCTGACTTCACGTATGTGGACATTACCTTCCCTACCTTTGTAGTAATCAGTGGTTGCTTTCTACCTTGTAAAGCTTGTAATGTGACTATTGCTTGCTAGTAGTTTGCATGGACAAGAGAATATGCTTGTATCCCTGTGTGTAATCTGGACAGTCTGTGTTTCCCTCTGTCCTCTTCGCTTGCCTGGATAAAGCTAATGGTAGCTGTCAATTAGTCTCAGCAGAAACTAGAATGCATCTAAGTCAACATTGTCTTAAGTAACTGTCAAATATTGATATCTGATATCAGCGGCTTGCTGAGGCAGTTGCCATTAACTGAAGCCCCCCCCCTTGTGCATGCAGTAACGGTTTTATGTCAATCTATGCCTCCCATGGGCATAAGGCCATTGGTTGCTTTCCTGCATATGTTATAGGCTTAATTAATGCTCTTGAGGCTGATTTCAACCGTGTTATTGTAATGTAGGTGCTGATGAGTCAATACGAAATGCTTGCATCTACCGCTGGTCGTCTTTTGGCTGAATTGTTTAAATTATTAAAAGGAACTAATTGTTTTAGATAACTGATATCATTGGAATATCCCTGTTGCAGGTTTCCTCAATCCAAAATTCTCCGTGAGGATCAAAATCACAACATGTATGTTGCAGGTTGCACTGAGGTAGAAGTTAAATCTACAGAAGAAGCCTTTGAAGTGTTTTGGAGAGGTAAGAAATGGAGTTACTTCCTGAAAATGTCACTTTAAACACTCCATGTTAAATCACTTCGAAGACAGAGTACTACTGAGTAAAAGAGCCATGAGGCGTGAAAGGAAACATGTTTTATTCAGCATCTTGTTTCTGTATTAGTCAACCAGATAATTGGCTGTCCCCTGAAAAGCCCCCAATAGGACCTGGCCACTGTATTGAAGCCCCCCTGCTACAGAGCCATGGACTAAAAGTCATGCTGAACTGTCCCATTGATCTGCTTTGTCCTTTTTAAAGCCTTGTGATTCAAGTGATTGTCATTATAAAATAACTCATCTATAAGGTGCAGCATTTCTTTTTTGTCTGTATTTGCAGGTATGAGTTTCAGTGGTAATTTACAAGTTTGGAAGGGTGTATTTGTAGCAGAATACATATTCATTAACTGTAATTCTTTTCCATTTAGAATTTTCTAGAAGCTTGTGTCACATTGGGTCATTATTTCAGAGATATTTCCTTACCTAAACAGAGAAACAGAATGCCCACAGATGGACAAAAAAGCAGTGGGAGTGACTTCTAACTTTATGCTGATTTCCCCATTGAATTTTCTTATGGAAAGCTGATGGTGCATTGGAAATCTCCCCCTGTCCCCATTTGCTTTGCTTTTGAGAAGTTTGCAGAGAAAAAGTCAGTGGGGAAGTTGACAAGAAGTTGTGAGTTCAAGGCCAGCCCAAAATGGCTGCTGCTGGATGGGGGAGGGTGTGATGTGTGTGAAAGGTGCAGCATGGATTGGGAAGGTTGCATGAAAGTGGGCATATGTTGGGATGCATATGGTGTGTCGTGGGTCAGGGAGGTGTAAGGATCGCCTCTCCTTCTAACTTAAGAAAGTGAGAACTCTTGGAAACGTGGTTGTTCAAAAGGATTTCTTTTATTAAGCAGAAGTGACAGACATCCAGTTAAAGCAAGATCTGAATACCCTTAGGCAAGACAGTAGGATTAAAGTGGTAGAGACCCCTCCCTTTAAGTCAGAATGCAGATTTTAGCCAATACACAAGTGTGAAGATGTTTTCTTTACTAGTTTCTCTGAGAACCCGAACACACATGCATTCCCACCATTATCCTTTAAAGTGAAACAACCCACATGGCTATCATAAAAATTCCTGCAGGTAAAGGGGATCTCAGGGCTCTTTGGTGCCAGGATATAGGTTGTAAATTATCTGTTGACACAGGCAATGCCAGTAAATCGAATCCAAGTGTCCCCCCTCCTCCAATTGAATGGCAGTATCACTTTTAGGGATCTGACATGCTACCCACCTTAGAAAGTGAAAGGGTCCACCTGAAAAAAACAAATATACACAAGATTTCATGATAGTATATCAACAAGGTTTGTTAGGGTATTGGGAGTGAAATTTTCTCAGTAAGATTGGAGCCCTAACGTGGTGTTTAGCAACCCATTCATTGTGTGCTGATGGTAAATGTTTCCAAGCAACTAAATACTGGATTTTCCCTCTGTGGATTCTAGAGTCAAGGATTTCCTTGATTTCAAAGTGTTGTTCACCTTCAATCATGATGGGCACAGGTGGTGTAGATGCAGGTGGTCTGAGATTACTTCTCGCTTGAGTAAACTAATATGGAATACTGTATGGACTTCAGTGGTGGGTTTCTCCCGGTTCGGCCCGGTTCCCGCGAGCCAGTAGCGCTGATGATATGACATCACCGAACCGGTTCCTCCCCCCCTCCCGCCTACCCCCCCACCTGCATTATTCTTACCTTTTATTTGGCCCCACTCCCAATCTGTTGCTGCCTCCTGAGTCCCAGCTGATGGCTAGAGGGGAAAACAACTGTTTAAACTCTTGACCTTCAAATGGCCGCCTTACAGCTGATCAATGTTAAAAGAAAACAAATGAGTAGACCGGTGTCTGCAAAAATAAATGAGTAGACCCAGTGGTTGGATTCTATTTTGGTAGAACCGGTTGTTAAGTAGTTAAGCCAGTGGTTCCCAAAGTGCCTAAGGGGGGCAGCAGGGGGGCGCTAGAGGCAAAAGGGGGCAACGGGGGCACTAAGTGGCAAGAAGGGTGGCCCCCACCCTTTGGCCTGTGCCTCATAGCAGTTACCTCCTTGCAAGCAAACAGCAAGAAAAAACAACTCCTTTCAGCTTCAGCATAAGCTAATTAGCCCATTGATTAGATCTGCCTCCTGACTCTCAGCTGATTTGCTCTCAACTGTTTTGCGCAGGGCTCAGCTGCTTGCTGCAAAGAGCTAAATTGCTGGAGCAGATTTTTTTTTTCTCCTTATGCAAATCAAGCTGAAAACGAAATTGAAAATAAAGCAGGGTGTTGGCTGTTACGTTGGAAAATTAGGCAGAGGTAGATTTCTTTTCTTTTTCCTCATGAAAAAAGGTAGGTGCAAACAATGGGAAATTTAGGGCAAAAGAGGAGAGTTCAAGATTTTAAAACAAAAGAAAAAAAGCTCTATTTAACTAGGGAATTGTAATAATTGAGATACTATTAATTGTATATTGTGTTGAAAGCAGAAATGGTTAAATTGTGGTTTGGAGGAATATATGGGGAAAATTATTTGGTTTATTATTGGTAAATATAATTAATTGATTTGTAAGAAATTGGATTGCATGGAAATAATTGGAATATTCATGTTCATATTGATTAATATACAAAAAAGATAGTTATAAATTGATTTATATTAAAACGTTAAATTTGTATTAAACAACTGTAATATTACATAATTAACCAATGTGAGGATGGATATAAAAATAGATGGCAATGGGAAGGGGTATAATATAGAATAGAAGGAAAAAATTGAATTTGATTAAGATTAGAGATGAGGATGAAGGGTAATATTGTTTTTTTTAAAAAATAGATGAATAAATATGGCAAAAAGGAAATATAGAAATTGTAAATTTAATTGAAATGACTAAACATTGTTTAAATTTGTGAACCGGCCAAATACTCTGTTCAAAGAAAACACATTGTATGTTTGTATGTGTGTTTCTAATTATTGCTATTTATTCATATTTATTCTCTTTTATTCTTTAAAGTTTAACAATTCATTCTTTATCTTAATATATTTATATTTGTTTGGGGTTGGCTTTCTTCCCTTTCATCTTTTTTATTGTACAGCAATCTTTCTCCTCAAACCTACCACCTCTCTCTTTTCTTTCCTTCTTACTTTCTCTTCCTCCCCTTTTCTTCTCCTCCCTACTTCCTCTTCCTTTCTCCTTTTCCTCCTCTCTTCCTCCCTCTCTTACACTCACTCCTACTATAATTTCCCTTCCCTTCCTTTATTAAACGCAACCAGCAAAAGGCAAAAGTTCGGTCCAGTTATCCTGTTGAAAATTAATGAAACATCTTAAATATTGTTCTAATACCGAGTTCAAAATTTCAGAATTTCTGTTAGTACACTGGTTATATGCCGAGCTTAACCCCTGGCCACTACCAAGTAAGTCCAAAAATGCTCTCCAAAAGTTGGAGGTGAATTGAATCCCTCTGTTGGAAATGATCTTTGTAGAGCACCATGAAGTCGATAAATGTGTATTAGGAATAATTTGGCTAAACTTTTAGCAATTGGGATCTTTTGGCAGGGTATAAAATGTGCCTGTTTTGAAAATAGGTCTGTCACGACCCAAATAACAGTATTTCCCTCACTGTTTGGCAATTCTACAATGAAATCCATAGCAATCTCTCCAAGGCGCTGAAGGTTCAGCTACCTTCTGCAATAGACCTGGGGATTTCCCTTGTTGTCTTTTTTGCTGCTGCACAAATGGGGCAGCTAGCTACATAGCTTTCTATGTCCTTTTTTACTGATGGCCACCAAAATTGTCTTTTAATCAGGTGCAAAGTTTTCACAAACCCAAAATGTCCAGCTAATTTGGAGTCGTGGCACCATTGGCTGGCAGGAACATACAACTCCCCCCCCCCCACCCACCCACCCAAGCCAAGTCTTCTTTCATCAGACAGCTGGATTTGTTGTTCAAAAACCATTCATCAGTGGCCAATGCTTGTTTAAAATTTCAGGTGGTGTCATTGCCCGTCAATGTCTCTTGTTTTGCCTGGGATCTGGTGACTAGCAGCTAGTTGATTGTTTTGTACTATGGGTTTGATTAATGGCTTTGCAGTATTGTACTGTGGTTTTCTGGATAGCGCATCCGCCAGAAAGTTCCCCCCCCCCCCCGGAGATATTTTAGAGTAAAATCAAACCGTTTAAAGTAATGAGCCCACCATACTTGTTTTGGGGAGAGTTTCCTTGGGGTCTTTAGGGCTTCTAGATTTTTATGATCAATCCAGACTTCAAAAGGGGTCTTACTACCTTCTAGGAAGTGCCTCCAGGTTAACAACGCCCAACAAACTGCATAAGCCTCTTTCTCCCAAATGGCCCACCTTTGCTCAGTCTCTTTCAACTTTTTGGATGTATAAGCGCAGGGTTGTAGTTGGTCTTGCTCATTCTTCTGAAGCAGGACCGTTCCTATTGCCACATCGCTGGCATCTGCTTGTATGACAAATGGTTTCTCTGTGTCTGGGTGTTTTAGAATTGGTTCTGCCGAGAACAGCCGTTTTAAGTTTTTCAAATGCCGCCTGGCATTCCAGTTCAATGGCTGCTTTGGTTTTGGATTGTCCTCCCCCTTCGTTTTTAAGAGCTTGGTGATGGGGAGGGCAATCTGGACGAAAACAGGGATAAACTGGTGGTAAAAGTTGGCAAAACCCAGGAAGCTCTGTAACTGTTTACGTGTGCGTGGAGGGTCCCAATCAAGTACAGCCTGCACTTTTAGAGGATCCATCTCAACCCCCTGGTGTGAAATACAGTACCCCAAATAGTCAATCTTCTCTTGGTGGAATTCACATTTGGAAAGTTTAGCATAAAGTTTGGCAGAGCGAAGTTTGTTTAAAACCGCCCTGACTAGTTTTACATGTTCTGCTTTGGTCTCGGTATAGATTAAAATGTCGTCCAAATAGACCAGGACCCCCTTATATAAATGCTGATGCATTACTTCATTTATTAACTGCATAAACACTGCAGGAGCTCCTTGCAACCCAAACGGGAGCACTTTGAATTGGTAGCAGCCGAGGGGTGTGTTAAATGCCGTTTTCCACTCATCCCCTTCCTTAATTCTGACCTGGTAGTAAGCCTCCCTTAAGTTCAGCTTTGAAAATTTTTTCCTTTTAACGAGGTGTGTTAGCATATCTTTCATAAGGGGGAGGGGATACATGTTCTCCACACTGATCATATTCAGATTTCGAAAATCAACACATAGACATTTTGAGCCATCTTTTTTCTCTCTAAATAGCACTGGGGCTGTGATGTTTGGTCGGGCTGGTTCGATGAAACCCTTGCTAGCTTTTTCTCAATAAATGTTCTCGGCTCTTCCAACTCCCTCGGTGACATGCTGTACATCTTGGGTTTAGGGAGTTTCGCGCCGGGTAAGATTTCTATCGCACAGTCAGAGGCGTGGTGTGGGGGGAGCTCATCTGAGGCTTTTTCACTAAAAACCTCAGCCAAATCCTTGTATTCTATGAGTATGCCCTCAGTTGGTATGGCATGACCAGGCATGGCTATTTCTTGATTCTCTGCCCCCTCCGTTCCTTTATGTGGATTCTCAGCAAAAGTCACATTCATCTGAAATTTTATGATGCCTTGTTTCCAGTTGATTTTTGGGTTCCATTTTTTCAGCCATGCAAGAAACCAATGGCCATTCCATGCCAGGAGCCACTATAAATGTAAGCATTTCCTTGTGGCTTCCGATGCCTATATGTAGAGGCTCGGTAGCAAAAGAAGCTGGCTCCCCTCCTGCTATTGACCCATCTAGTTGGCAGAATGTGATGGGATTTTTCAGTTTTCTTACGTTAATCCCTAACTTCCCTACTAGGGTTGGGCTGATCAAACAACGGGTGCACCCTGAATCCACTAGAGTGGAGATATTTATCTCCCTGTCCTGGTTTGGGATAAATAGTCTTAAGGGGAGGGTAAGCGGCTTAATTGGTTTGCTTACCAGTGGTTCATCACCTGGATTGCTTCCGAATGAGTGTGATTCCTCCTGTTCAGATGCCAGGGTTTCCTCCCTAAAGAGGTTAGAGGATGGAATTTCAACGGTCTCCCTGCTCCTCAGGGCAGTCTCCTTCCTACGCCGACCCGGTTTTGCAGGGTTCTCCCCTGGTGGGTGGTTCCGGGCGGGTGTTTGCGAACGACACTCTGCAGCTCGGTGCCGCTTTTCCACACTTGAAGCAGGCTGAAGATCTCAGAGAGAATGCGGTTTATGGTTTGAGGGGCTCATGCTTCCATTGGGGTGCGGATTTCTTCCATGCTCGCCCCGCTCGATACTGGTTTCTGGCCATATCGATCTCAGCTTCTTCAGCGGTGACATACCATTCATGTAGGTGATTCGGTGCACCTTGGGCCACGCAGGCATTGTATAGATCATCACTCAGCCCGTCCTTGAAACAGCTCACCAAAATATCTTCCGGCCAGTGCACATGAAACGTGAGGTCCCCAAATTCTTCAATATACTCTGCTACTGGCAGTCGCCCCTGCTTCACCACCTTAATGTGGTCACGTGTTTTGCGATCCGCTACTGGGGCCTCAAACCGACGTCGCAGGGCCATCATAAGACGGTTGAAATCCCGCAGTTCTGGTGCGTTGGCGTTATGCAGGGTCGCCATCCATCTGGCAGCGGCACCCTCTAGGGCTAGGTTCACAACTCGCACTCCGGAGTCTTGGGTTTGGAAATCACACCCGTACTCTTGCATGTAGGTGAGCACGTGTGCCACAAAGAATCCTAATTGCTGCAGATTCCCATCAAACTTCACCCCAAGGGGGGGGAGTTTCTCTTTCCAGTTGCGGGACTCGGAGGTGGTTGGGAGTGGGCGCCGGTGTGCATGCAGCCTGAGGGGGAGGGGTTGCTGGGTCTTCTCCCGCTGCTGCTGCACCATCTGCTCGATAGGCAGGCTCCAGGAGGGGGTGTGCCTCCCGTGGCATCATCCGCAACTGCTGCCCTTCCCGTGCCCTTTGGTTGTTGTCCTGGCTCCCTTTGGATGTTGAGGTTTTCCAAAGTTTCCATCACCAATTGGGTTATATGCCTCTTCAGACAGTCCTCCCTCAAGGGTGCTTCGGTCAGTTCCCCCCTAGTCAGCAAGGGCTTCTAGTTCCAGTTTCCACCCCGGTTTTTGGTTGCCACGGCTGAGGGTGACTCCTCTGGATCTCTCATCCCAGCTATCTTTCTTCCCGATGCCAATTGACCAGCGGGGCTTTTCAGGATTTTCCAGGGTTACCTCATCCTCTCCGATGGGGTGTATGAAACAGGCATCTGACTGGGTGGCGGTTGATGTCTCCCCCCAGCAATTGGTTTCTCCCAGCTCTCTGCTTTGTTCAGACATGGTTTGCAGGGTCCCCTCAGTAGAGTGAAGATTGCTTCTCTGGGTTGACCATTTTGCAAATCGTGCTTTGTGTAAGGATCGCCTCTCCTTCTAACTTAAGAAAGTGAGAACTCTTGAAACGTGGTTGTTCAAAAGGATTTCTTTTATTAAGCAGAAGTGACAGACATCCAGTTAAAGCAAGATCTGAATACCCTTAGGCAAGGCAGTAGGATTAAAGTGGTAGAGACCCCTCCCTTTAAGTCAGAATGCAGATTTTAGCCAATACACAAGTGTGAAGACGTTTTCTTTACTAGTTTCTCTGAGAACCCGAACAAACATGCATTCCCACCATTATCCTTTAAAGTGAAACAACCCACATGGCTATCATAAAAATTCCTGCAGGTAAAGGGGATCTCAGGGCTCTTTGGTGCCAGGATATAGGTTGTAAATATCTGTTGACACAGGCAATGCTAGTGAATTGAATCCAAGTGTCCCCCCTCCTCCGATTGAATGGCAGTATCGCTTTTAGGGATCTGATAGGAGGGCATGCAGGATTGCATGAGTGACCAGTTCCAGTGGGGAGAGGTTGGGGAGGTTGTGTAAGTAGGAGAGACTTACCCAAGGAACTTGCGACCTTCACTGCCAACTTCCCCGTTGCCTTGTGGGAAGCTGTCAAGGAGAGTTAGAAATGATCATGTGACCACAATGAAGTCGATGGCTGAACATCCATAAGTTTCCCAAATTTCGTTCCCACGGAAGTAATGAATCCCTGCATTTGATAAGTTTGCCTATTTAAGGTATCTTGGTTTAATAATTGTTGCTCTGTTGTAAACTGCTTTGCCCAGTTAAAGGTTACAAATAAACAGACATGAGTTTTAATAGTATATGGATGGATGGATGGATGGATGATGGATGGATTGCATTTGTGTGGCCGCTTATCTCCCTAAGCTCACAACAAACAGCAATCCAATAAAAAAGTTAGAGCAACATACATACATGAAATAAATAAAACATAAAATAAAACAAAAACAACTGTGTTCATCAGCAAAATCCATCCTTGCATCAAGCTTATCAAAGCCATTGTAAAAGCTCTCCCCACTCCCCCACCCCACAATTGCCAATCTGCCAAGCACAGTGGCCCAGCCATGCGGTTAGGGCCTTCCTAAAAGCTAGCAAGTTGGGGCCAATGTAAGTTGGGGGAGGGGAAGATGTTACAAAGATCATGAAAATAGCCTAAATGTTTTTGCCTTTTCTTGATAGGGAAGGTGCTCCTATCTTCTGTTGTTGGATTTTTTTTTTTTCATTCATTACAGGTCCACAATATTCTTTGAGAGATAATAGCTAGAATTCTGCCCTGACTGCATTATGATAGTTGATCTAAAAAATGTTTTTTTCCCTTTTAACAGGCCAAAAGAAGAGGCGCATTGCACATACTCAACTGAATCGAGAATCTAGTCGTTCCCACAGTGTATTTCTAATTAAACTGGCTCAGGCTCCTCTCAATGCAGATGGAGATAATGTTCTGCAGGTAAAATCAAGGTTGGCTAGCAAAGAGATGATTTCTTTCTTTAGTCAACTTTTCAAAACCTGATAATTGTTCGACCAGTAGCAGAAGTCATAAGTGTTGCTGAGAAACCTGGCTGTAACTTATGCTTTCCTTAAAAAGTCCAGAAATTCTCAGCTTGATGTATGTATATGTAGTTTCCTGATTGAAAACCATAACATCTCTTCTCTTGCAGGAGAAAGAGTTAATATCCTTGAGCCAGTTATCCCTGGTTGACCTAGCAGGGAGTGAGAGAACAAACAGGACCAAAGCCGAAGGAAACAGACTCCGTGAGGCTGGTGGGTGCTTTGATACCAGTGAATGGGTGTGTGTCTTCTTTCAGTCAAAGATTTCTGGTTTGGATTCAAGTGGACCGTTCCTTCAAGCAAGCAGGAGATACTCTTTTAAATTGTCCTTCCCAGCAGAAAGAAACAGGGCTGACTGACATGTGAGGGAAGCCACAAAATGATCACAGAGGCCAAGGGCCCACCAGAAATATGGACGTTTCTTTGAAAGATTCTTCTTTAGCCAGAAGGTTTTTCTGGCTCTTGGTTCTGTATGTTTTTTCTGTTATACAAGAGCTAGGATAGGTCTTGTTTCTTATTGTAAGTGATAGATAAATCTTGGAGGAAAATTAATACGGAATTCCTTTAGTTTTGAAAAACCATTCAGGTGGAAAATATTATTTGAACTTTAATTGTAATATAATATTTTAACTTTAATTGCAAAGGATTTGAAACATTCTCAGTCCCTGCTTTTACTAGGCAAAAGTAAAATAGCATGTTTATCTATACATTATGCTACCTTCCAGGCCTCCTTTCTTCAAAGATGGATATGCATTGGGAAGATTGTTAGGATTATTTGGGTGGAGTTTACCTTGTGAAACATCTCTTCTAGTCATGTTTAACTTGTGGTGTCTTCTCAGAGTTAGAAAAACGAATAGTTTTCTGGGCAACTGTATGGAAGTGGTTTGGCATAGTCTTCTAGAATTTGTTGTACTTTCTAGTTTAGTCTAGTGTCTTGGGATTTCCTCATAATCCAGTGCTGAACCTGCCAAGATTGGCCTGGTGTGGCCCCTGTCATAAACCTTCCCCTTATACTTTCCATAGTAGTAATTTAGCTAAGGCTTTTGACCACTGTCCAAAGTTTAGTTAAAATGGTCCTTATATTGGAAGTGGAAATTTCCCTTTCCCTGTCCTTTGCAAGGATATTGAAAATGCAAAGTGGCTGTTTCCTTTTCATAGGAGAGGTGATCCCATGTTCTTTAAAAAACAGGAAATTAAGAAATTCTTACAAAGACAAACTGTTTTATGAGTAGGCATCATATCAAATGGTTGTCAGACAAGTGCCATTCACTCTTCCAGGTAATATCAATCAATCACTGATGACATTAAGAACCTGTATAGAAGCTTTGCGAGAGAATCAAACTTATGGAACCAATAAGGTGTGTAGTTACCTATTTCTGTAGTTTTTCCTCCTTTCCTCACTTTCTCAGTTCCTAAACTCTGAAAATGTTTTGTTCTGCTTAATTCTTCAGATGGTCCCTTATCGAGACTCCAAATTGACTCATCTTTTTAAGAATTATTTTGATGGTGAGGGTAAAGTCCGTATGATTGTCTGCGTGAATCCAAAGGCAGAAGACTATGATGAGAGTTTGGTAATTTAAGTTTGTTGTTTAACTTCAGATGCTTGAATTTATAAAAACTGGTAGCACACTACTTTGCTACTCTACCTTGCTACTGAGGTAGCTGTCCTTTATAGAAACTTTTTTAAGTGCTGGAATATTCTTCCTATTCACATTTCAGAATATGTGTGCTGTTTATCGAACTTATATGGTAGCTCATCTCACTCAAAGTGACTTTTAGTGGCAGACAATAAAATCAAAATTAAAAATATTCAAAAAAATCAGTTAAACATTAAACATGGATAAAAATAGAGCAAAGTCACTAGGAGAGATAAGTATAATATAGTGGTACCTTGGTACTCGACTGCTTCAAAACTCGTTGAATTTGGTTCTTGATGCAAATTGATGTGAAAATGTCCCAGTACTCGACCTTTGTTTAATACTCAACGCGCTACTAGGGGAAGAGGGGGATGGCTATGGGGAATGAACAGGAAATCAGCCATGCTGGGAAGGTTGGTGCAAAAGGACAAGGATGGCCACAGAGGATGGACTGGAAGTCGGCCATTTAATTATTTTAAATTTTATACTGTTGTTTTGTCTGTGTTTTTAAATAGGCTGTACACCGCCCTGAGTCCTTCGGGAGAAGGGCGGTATAGAAATAAAATTATTATTATTAGTAGTATTAGTATTAGTATTAGTATTAGTATTAGTATTATAGGAAAAGAGACAGGCAGTCTGTCTACATACCAAGGAATGTAGATGATGAAGGGGTTACATTAAGTCTCATGGTTTGTTTGGGACTTGTCCTATTTACTACCCATCACACCAAAACGAATTAATGTCAAATACCAAAGTACTACTGTATAGCCAGCACAGACTCCCTCTCCCCAGGGGATCCCCAGGCTTGCAGAAAATGCAGGTTTTGAGAAACATTTACAAGAAAACAAGCTCAGAGAGCACCAAGGAATCGACAGGTTGTAGTTCAAGCCTGAGCTACAAATATACTCTTCCATTCTTCTAATACTCTTTTTTTTAAAAAAAAAAAAATATTCGATAGCAAGTCATGAGATTTGCAGAAATCACCCAAGAAGTAGAGGTTGCACGACCTGCTGACAAACCTCTGTGTGGACTAACTCCCGGTCGGCGATTTAAGAACGAGGCTTTCAGAGAGGAGCTCTCCCGACAGCTGGAAATCCGAGGTGGACCAGTTGATGGAGGTAAATCTTTAGGTTGAGACTAATAGTTGAGGGTCTTGCCCAAGAGAGGCCACTGCACCTCAGATAGTGAGTCTCTCCTGGTGAAGTGGGGACAAGGGAGGCAGATGGGCTTGCTGATTATGTACCTGGCTCCCTGCCACGTGTCGGCTGCCCTGCCCAAGCTACTCAACATGATTGCCGAGGTGACGGTGGAGACCCCCAGGCTTATGGTCATGGGGGACTTCAACCTGCCATCTGTTGGCGAAACGTCTGAGGTGGCTCGGGAGTTCATGGCTTCCATGACGGCCATGGACCTGACCTAGCTAATTCATGGACCCACTCACACAGGAGGGCACACTCTGGACTTGATTTTTGTCTCTGGGCAGTGGATGAATGATCTCGAGATAGGGGCAGTAGCGATTGAGCCCTTGTCATGGTTGGATCATTCCCTTCTTAGGCTTGACTTTCTAACCGCTACACCCTGCCGCAGGGAGGCGGAACAAACTAGATGGTTCTGCCCCAGGCGCCTGATGGATCCTGGTAGGTTCCAGATGGAGCTTGGGCCATTTCCTGAGGCTCTGACTCATGACTCGGCCGAGGAACTGGTGGCCGCCTGGGATAGGGCGGCCGCTGGCGCTTTGGACCGAGTCGTGCCTTTGCGGCCTCTGACCCGTCGCCGAGTCTACTTGGCTCCTTGGTTCTCTGAGGAGCTGAGGGAGATGAAGCGCCGGAAAAGACGCCTAGAAAGCAGTTGGAGGTCTAGTCGGTCTGAATCTGACCAAACACGGGTAAGAGCTCATATTAAGACCTACCTATTTAATTATTTAATTTATTTTAAATTTAAATTAAATTTAAAAATTTAATTATTTTTCCGCTCTTATCGCATCGGCAGATAACCGCCCAGCCGCCCTGTTTAGGGTGACCCGCTCCCTCCTCCATTCGGAAGCGCAGGAGGATCCCTTGCAGGGTCGTGCTGAGGATTTTGTTCAGTATCTGCACGATAAAATCACTCAGATTCGGGAAGGCCTGGTCTCCAACTGGGTAGGTACAGACAGGATGATGGAGGCCGGTCTTGAGAATGTCATTTGGGAGGAGTTCAATCCTGTTGCTCCCGAGGACGTGGACAGGATACTGGGGCGGCTGAATGCGACCACATGTTTATTGGACCCGTGTCCCTCCTGGCTGGTACTGGCCTCCCGGGAGGTTACGCGAGGCTGGCTCCAGGGTATTATCAACGCTTCCTTGGGTGAGGGTGTCTTGCCATCAGCCTTGAAAGAGGCGGTGGTGAGGCCCCTCCTCAAGAAGCCTGCTCTGAATCCAGCTGTTTTGGCTAACTATCGTCCGGTCTCCAACCTTCCCTTCGTGGCGAAGGTTGTTGAGAGTGTGGTGGCACGACAGCTGCCTGGGTACCTGGATGAAGCTGTCTATCTGGATCCACGCCAGTCCAGCTTCAGGCCTGGGCACAGCACGGAAATGGCATTGGTCGCATTGGTGGATGATCTCTGAAGGGCTCGGGACAGGGGTTGCTCCTCTATCCTGGTCCTATTAGATCTCTCAGCGGCTTTTGATACCATCGACCATGGTATCATGCTATGCCGGTTGGAGGGGCTGGGAGTGGGGGGCACCGTCCTACGGTGGTTCTCCTCCTATCTCTCCAACCGGATGCAGTCAGTGTTGGCAGGGGGGCAGAGGTCGACCCCGAGGTGCCTTGTGTGTGGGGTGCCGCAGGGATCGGTCCTCTCACCCCTTCTGTTCAACATTTATGTGAAGCCGCTGGGCGAGATCATCCGTGGCTTCGGGGTGGAATTCCATCAGTACGTTGACGACACTCAGCTGTACATCTCCACCCCAGACCATCCCAACGATGCCCTTGAAGTGATGTCCCAGTGCTTGGAGGCCGTGTGGATCTGGATGGGGAGTAACAGGCTTCGACTCAACCCCTCCAAGACCGAGTGGCTATGGCTTCCGGCGTCCCGATATAGCCAGCTGGCACCATCGCTGGCTATTGGGGGCGAGTTATTGGCCCCCACGGAGAGGGCTCGCAACTTGGGTGTCCTCCTGGATGCACGGCTGTCTTTAGAAGAGCATATGACAGCCGTGGCCAGGGCGGCTTTTCATCAGGTTCGCCTGATTTGCCAGTTGCGTCCCTTTCTGGATCAGGACTCCTTACGCACAGTCACTCAGGCACTCGTCACTTCCCGCCTGGACTACTGCAATGCTCTCTACGTGGGGCTCCCCTTGAGGTGCACCCGGAGACTCCAGCTGGTGCAGAATGCGGCTGCACGGGGGATTATGGGAGCGAGAGGGCGTTCCCATGTGACACCTCTCCTGCGTGAGCTGCATTGGCTCCCGGTGGACTTCCGGGTGCGCTTCAAGGTACTGGTTACCACCTTTAAAGCGCTCCATGGCATCGGACCTGGGTATTTGCGGGACCGCCTTCTGCCGCCAATAGCCTCCCACCAGCCAGTACGCTCCCACAGAGAGGGACTCCTCAGGGTGCCGCCAGCTAGGCAGTGTCAGCTGGCGACCCCCAGGGGGAGGGCCTTCTCTGTGGCAGCACCTGCCCTCTGGAACGATTTGCCCCCGGAGATACGGAGGATATCAGATCTCCGGGCTTTTCGCCGTGCCCTAAAAACTTTTCCATCAAGCAGGGCTGGCGTGAACCCCCCCCACCCCCGTTTTTGAGATATTAGATTTTTAATTGTTTAATGGGTTTTAGTCGTAAGGTTCTTAAATTTTTGGCCAAAGAGTATAATTCTTTTAAATTTTTAAATTTTGTATTGGATGTTTTTTACTTGGCTGTGCACCGCCCTGAGTCCACTAGGAGAAGGGCGGTATACAAATTTAAATAAAATAAAATAAAATAAATAAATAATAACAATAGAAATTTCTCCTAGCAATTGCCTTATGCAGTTCTGCCTTTACTAACCATGCAGACTCTGATCTTTGTAGATAGTCCCTCAACTAAGTGGCCTGTTTTGTTTGTCTAGACAGAGGCCCCTTGGTCAGAGAATTGCTCCTGCAGAACTTCCCTCCAGTGCCTTCCTGTGAACTTCTGGACATCAATGATGACCAGACCCTGCCTCGGCTGATTGAAGTGCTTGAAAAGCGGCACCACATTCGGCAGAATCTGTCAGAAGAGTTTGCCAAAAATGGTAAGTACTTGGCACCAACTTGTTTTGTCCTAGCTGAAAGTGAATAAATTGTGAGGTTCCTCATGGGAGGGAAAGAATTGGGTGATTGCTTACTGAAATCAGCAAATACACAGTAGCCTGGAAAATAGTTAGAAGAGGTGGTAAATCTTCCACAAAAAGGTCTTAGAATGTGTGTTTGTTCAAGATCCTGTACCTGGATTTTCCATGTTACACCTGTTGTAAATTGGGGGCCTTTGCATACCTTAGGGTTGTGCATCAGTTATGCCCATTCTTGGATTGGACACTTTGCTTACAATCACTGATGCCCTCATGACCTCTCTGGATTACTGCAATGCATTGTACATGGGGCTGCCCTTGAAGAGCATTCAGACGGTTCAACTAATGCAGAGTGCAGCTGAATTGAATGGTATTGAATGGTGTCAGATATTTGACACATATAACATCATTGCTGTGTGAGCTGCATTGGCTACGAGATACAACTCAAGGTGCTGGTTGCTACTTTTAAAGTCCTTTAAGGCTTGGGCCAGATTACCTGGTCTTCTCCCAGTCATTTCTACCCATCAACTCAGTCTGGCAGGTTGGGCGTGCTACGGTTCCGCCAACCAAGGAATGAAGATGATAGGTATTAGGACGTGTGCCTTCTCTGCGGTAGCCCCTCTCCTCTGGAACATTCTCCTTTCAGAAATGAGGATGACTGCACCCCTGTTGGCCTTTCATAATGCCAAGGAGACCTGGTTATGTGCCCAGGTCTGGGCCCCAAGAATGTTAAGGACACATTTCATGGTTATAGTAACATGGCAATAGTTTTACTCAGTGACTATATATATTTATTTTATATTGTTTTAATGTTTCTATGATAAACAGAATCACTTGTTTAGATAGGCAGAAATCAAATATCTTTTTCTGTTTTAGTTCTATGTGTAAAGAACATGTTGCAAGAACTTGATGCCAGCATTGTATCCAAGGAGAACTTTGCACAAGTGAAAATAGCTGAAAGAGAAAAAATTATAACAGGACAGAAAACTGAGATTGAGCGACTAGAGAAGAAAGCAAGAACTCTGGAATATAAGGTTTTTATTTACTGTTTGAAGTAAAATCTTGGATTGCTGAAGTAGTTCTCCATTTGTTGATGGATTGTAATTTCTTGACATGAGGCAGACCTGAGAGTTAGCAAGCTTTTAAGATAGTGGGCAGCATCATGAATTCTGTGCAATACCACAAGGGCTAACAAATTTTGAACACTAAAAGAGATACCCCAGTTTACCCAACAGGTTTGAAAACATAATTTTTGCAAACAATGGTTAACTACTGTCTTGTGATGGTTGCTAATTACTTTTATGATATCAGTTGCAATGCAGGATCTTGCTTTGCCAAAAAAACAAAAAAGTTGTGCTAAATTTTGTGGAGGTGAGTTTTCAGAATAGCAATAGCACTTAGACTTATATTTGCTTCACAGTGTTTACAGCCCTTTCAAGCGTTTACAGTGTCAATATATTGCCCCCAACAATCTGGGCCCTCATTTTACTTTTGTTGAGAATCGAACTGCCGAACTGCTGGCAGCCAGCAGTCACCAGAAGTAGCCTGCAGTACTGCATTCCAACCACATTGCAATCTCTCATACCAGATTGACATCCTGGAGAAAACAACAGCAATTTATGAAGAAGAGAAGCGCAACCTGCAGCAGGAACTAGAAAGCAAAAGTCAAAAGCTGCAGCGTCAGGTTTCAGACAAGCGTCGACTAGAAGCTCGTTTACAGGGCATGGTGACAGAGACGACAATGAAATGGGAAAAGGAATGTGTGAGTATGACTGGTTTACTGAACCACAGGTCTGGGAAGAAGCAGTTTCCTTTTCACAGTAGAAGACATAGCTGGAAGGGTTTAATGCTAACTCTGGAAAGTCTGGCTAACTTACTTGATTGCTGGATAGGCAGCTAAGCACTATAAGGTATGTCTCTGTGATTAATTTTTCCCACATAAGAGTGGGGACGTTAAACTGTAAATGCAAAGATGTACAATGCTGCGTTGGGCTGTTCGTTAAGCATTTCTGGGAACATCTTATGTTCATTCTTGCATAGGGTGCAAGTTGATCTTCCAGACTGCATTAGAGAAGGTTGAGGCTTTGTGTGGGCATCTCCCTTTTCTTTCCTGATGATGGTTTTCTCTACCAGAGGAGTACTTTATTTCTATAATTTATTCATGCAAGATTTAAGTAAACAGTTGGCAGCAATAATTTTTTAAAAATAAAGAAAGCCTAATGGAAACATACAGTAAATGTTGTAATTGCAGTAAATGTTCAGGATAACACTTGGAAGGGACCCTGGAGGTCTTCTAGTCCAACCCCCTGCTCAAATAGGAGACCCTAAACCAGTGGTCCCCAACCCCCGGTCCGCGGACTGGTGCCGGGCCGTGGAGTACCTGGCACCGGGCCGCGCAGCGGCCGGGGGACATGAACGCTGCAGCGCAAAGGCTCCTGGGCCGTGCGCAATGGGCCGTGCGCAAAAGCTCCTGGGCCGTGCCCCCACCCCTGCGCGCGCTCAGCGGGCCGCGGCGATAAAAAGGTTGGGGACCACTGCCCTAAACTATTCCAGACAAGTGGCTGTCAAATCTCTTCTTAAAAGGCTCCAGTGATGAAGCACCCACAATTTCTGAAAGCAAACTATTCCACTGGTTAATTGTTCTCGCTGCTAGAAAATTTCTCCTTAACTGCAGGATGTTTCCTTGATTAGTTTCCATCCATTGTGTCTTGTTTTCCCTTCTAGTGCTTTCGAAAATAGGTTGACCCTTCTTTGTGGAGGCCCTCCCACCATTTTGGAACACTGCTACCGTGTTTTCCCGAAAATAAGCCCTAATGCGTCCTTTGGAGCAAAAATTAATATAAGACCAGTCTTATTTTCAGGGAAACACGATATCACGTCACCGCTAGCCTTTCTTTTCACTAGACTAGACATACCCAATTCCTGCAACCATTCATCATATGCTAAAACCGGATGCAGTATTCTAAGTGTGGTCTTACTAAGGCTTTATAAAGTGGTACTAGTACTTCACATGATCTTGATTATATCCCTGTGTTAATACAGCCTAGGATTGCGTTGGGATTTTTGGCTACTGCCACACAATCCTGGCTCACATTTAAGTGATTGTCCATTAGGACTCCAAGATGCCTCTCACAGTTATTGTTATTGAGCCAGGTTTCACCTAATCTGTACCAGTATATTTGATTTTTCCTGCCTAAGTGTAAACTTACTTTTCTTTACATTGAATTTCATTTTGTTAGATAGGACCCAGTGTTCAAGTCTGTGTTCAAGATTCATCTGGATTTTGAGCCTATCTTCAGGGGTGTTGACTACTCCCTTGTCAGTTTAGTGTCATCTGTAAATTTGATATATTCCCCTTCTATTCCCTCATCTAAATCATTTATGAAGATCATTTATGAAAAAGACACATTTGAAAACTGTCAGCCAATTACAAATCCATCTGGTGGTAATGATGTCTATCCCACATGTTTTTAGTTTATCACGAAGTAGGTTGTGGTCTACTTCGTCAGATGCCTTACTGAAATCCAAGTATACTATGTCCACTGCATTTCACTGGTCTACTAATTTAGTGACTTTGTCAAAGAATGAAATAAGATTTGTTTGGCATGATCTGTTTTGGACAAATTGGTGTTGGCTTCTGGTTAGAACTTTTGCTTGCATCTAGGTGTTCGCAGATCTGTTGCTTGATTATCGTTTCCAGGATCTTCCCAGGAGGCCAGGGTGATTGGTCTGTTTTCTGGATTTGTTTCCCCCCTCCTTTTTTTTTTTTTTGAAGATGGGAATCACATTAGCTCTTTTCCAGTCCTCTGATAGTTCCCCAGTACCCTAAGATCTATAAAAGATATGGTTCAATGGTTCCGAGGTCATATCTGCCAGCTCCTTTCAGAATTCTGGGATGTAATTTAATTTGAAGTCATCTAGAGCAGATATGTGTTCTCTTGCTTATTTTAATTTGTATTCCTAGCCTGTCTTTTACAGTTATGTTTTGGTAAATTGGACTATTTTTTGGTTTTGCGTGAAAACAGATGCAAAGAATGAACTAATCAGCTCTGCTTTCCCTCTACTGCTCATCACTTCATCTCTCATTAGTGGACTGATTGTTTCCATGACTTTTTTGTATATGTTGAAAGAAACTTTGTAAATTATTTTGTCATTTGTTGCAAGTCTTGCTTGATTGTTTAACTTTTCAGAAGCAGAGAACTGTGAAGTAGCCCACACTTGGAGCCCCCAGGTGAATTAGAGTTCATGCTGTTTCCTGTGGCTGGAACATTCAAAACATTCCACGATTTTCTCCAGAGGAATATGAAACATACCAGTTATTTCACGTTTTGTTTTGTCACTATGCTTAGACGGTTAATCAAAAAGTTTTAAAATGAATTGTATAATAATAGTTTTAGAATGCCAGGTTGATGTAGTAGTAACTTTGAGTTCTAATCTGCTTTAGAAAGGAAATCAAAGTGGATGAATTTCAGCCAGTCTCTCTTAATCCTAGGGAAGGACAAATCACCACTGAAACTTTGCCAGGAAAAATGAGGGACTTCTCTAAGCATTTGCCAGGAGTCAAGACTGACTCAAAGGCATTAAAATTTGTATTTACTACAGGTTGTTCTTGACTTAAAACCACAATTGGGACCGGAATTTCTGTTGCTAAGTGATATGGTTGAATGTCACATGATTGTATGGCTTAGCGGCAGCAGTGCCTGCACTCCCTGTTGTCATTGTTAAACAAACTCTGCTGGTTGTTAATTATGGACTCACCCCAGTTCAATCCATTCCAGGCTTGGTCCCTCCCAGCCCAGAGATTTGGTAAGCTAAGGGACTGTCTCCCACTCTTTCAACCCACCTATCTCCCCACATCAGTGCTCTTTTGGTCATCCTTCATCTACCTTGTGGGGCAGCAAGCAAGTTCAGGACCATACAGGAGGGCTTCTTGGTGCACTACCACTCTGGGGCTTCAGGAACGCCCTGAGCTGCAGGGGAAAGCCTCAAAGCCCCCAGCCCAGCCAACAGTGTGGTCCAACGCTCTGACCACCTATACTCCGAGAACTCTGCCACACTAACCTCACTTCTGGTGACCTTTGGCATTAACTCCCAGTGCTGATGAGGTGTGGCTGCCCGCCCCCCTTTGCAAGGCAGCTGCTGGCCCTGTGCGGCTATGTTCTTCAGGTCTCGCAAGGAAAGTGCCACGTGCAGTCTGGGCAAGAAAGCCTCTTGTGTCCAGCAACTGTCTTGCAAAGGGCTGGGCTTCGTCAGCAGTAGGAGAAAGACGATGGCAAAGGCAGCAGGGCCCACAGAGTGCAGGGGGCCCAAAGGTCATATATGGGTAGGGGATAGGCTATGGGGGTGGGGGGCGGAATTGAAGTGCTCCTGCAGTTGTGAGTTCAGGCAGGTTGCCAAGTGCCCAAATGTTGATCATGAGATTGCAAGGATGCTACAATGGCCATTTAACTTTGTGACCCTTGTTTGGCTTAGTGCCACCAATAACTTTGATTGTTGAAGAAATGGTTGTCAATCATCTCCATTTTGTCTACTCCACTATGTCCAGAAACCATTATGTACCTAAACTGGAAAGTGAGAACTTTTGCATTCCTTGAACTGTTCTCAAGTATCTTAACAAAGGAGCTATTGAAGTTTCAATGTGTTGTTTCCCCAAATATATAATCCTAATTCTTAATAACCAGTTATAGCAGCCAATAGTTTGGCAAATATTTTAAAACTGGCAAAAGGAAATCCCATTATGAAATCCTTTTTTTTTTTTTTTTGGTCTTTTCTGAGTTTCAGTATCTTTAGTCAACTTTAGAGTTCTGATAGCATACGAAGTAGCAAAACTACTCAGAATCCTTATGATAGAGTTGGTATACAAAAAATGTAAAGTAAAGTAATAAAAACCTCCTTCCTTATCACTCTCCATACCATGAATATTTTTCATTTGGTACTTTTGTAATTCTTTGTGATCCATTTTTGTTTTAAAAATTCTAAAGAATAACTTGGATTTCTTGCTGCTAATTTTTAATTGGCAGGTAGGAACACTTTTTTTTTTAAATTGCTGACTCTTTGGTGGAAAAGCCTCTTGTTACCTCTTTTATCTAAACTAATGGCACTTATATAGATGGAATTCGGTAAACTTGGGGATTCCACCCTTTCTTTTATAGCACCAGATTCCTCAAGATTCACTTGCTTTATGGTAGCACAATTTTTCTGCTTTGGGACAGTGGTGGATAAAATTAAGTGTTCTAACCAAGTCCTTTCAGTAATTAAGCTTAATGTACTCTAATATTTTAACAAAACAAAATAAAACTCAAGAGACACCTGAAATAAAACAAAATGGCTGAAAATTTGCCCTTCTTATTGTGGTTATGTTACTGCATCCTTGCTGTGCCTGGGCAGTTGTTTAAGACTTGAAACAGCACTGCTGAAAATTTAGCCATTCAGTGATTGTCAACCAGAATGTATCCCTTAAGCTGGGACGGGCAACAAGTTGCCATTCGGATGTTGCCACTCTATCTTTTGTCATGGTGGTAAGACCATGATTAGGCATTCATTAATGTCTAAAGAGGGAGATATTGTGGATCTTATTTTAAGGCAAGTGTAGCCAGCATTATTGAACCATAGGTTGCCTTTCCTTGAAATACAAATATGTGGCCACGGCTGGAATCAGTAGGTGTCAACCCATGCCTTAATTTTCTGAAAACTGGTATGTGGTATTCTTACCACTTAACTAAAATTACTTTGAAAGAAAAAGATCTCTTTATTTTTGCCCATTAAAATTACTGGTGTTTCTGTTTTCCTGCCGTAACATAGCTGATAATTTTTCAGAATGTAATATTTCAGCAGGCATCTATTTTTTTTTTTAATTTGATTTATATGCCGCCCTTCTCCGGAGACTCAGGGCGGCTTACAATGCGTTAAGCAATAGCCTTCATACTTTTGTATATTTTATACAAAGTCAGCTTATTGCCCCCACAATCTGGGTCCTCATTTCACCTACCTTAGAAAGGATGGAAGGCTGAGTCAACCTTGAGCCTGGTGAGATTCGAACCTGCAGTAATTGCAGGCAGCTGTGTTAATAACAGGGTGCTTTAGACCACTGTACTACCAAGGCTCCTATTTCACTTTAGAGACATGTCCTTGGAATCAAAAACTCGCCAAATAATATTGCATTGGTTAGTATACCGTGTGTAATGGTAGCCTTTCTTTCTTCTTACCATGCAGGAGCGGCGTGTGGCAGCCAAGCAACTGGAGATGCAGAATAAACTTTGGGTGAAAGATGAGAAACTAAAGCAGCTCAAAGCCATTGTCACAGAGCCTAAGAGTAACAAACCTGAGAGGCCTTCCCGGGAAAAGGATCGGGAGAAAGCTCTACAAAGATCATTGTCTCCTCCCCCAGTACCTGTAAGCTTCTTTTGAGAGTGAATGTGCACCTGTCTCTGCACATATCCACCACTGTGGCAAGTCAATATGAGAAGTCAAACTCCTGTGGCTGGGAGACTATAGTTCAGCCAGGAGAATTCTCTGTGAGCCACCTCCTTGAATTAGCTTTGAATCTTTCTATTTCTCTTTCTAATTCTGCTTAGTATAGAGATGGGGCTGAATTCTATGTCGGTTTTGTGGTAGTGTTCTTTTCTTTTTGCCTTATTCACTAACTGCACCTTTCTTCAGTTTTCCAGTAACTGTATCCCTCACCTGCCTAACAACTATGATCCTCCTGCCAGAAGCCAGCCAAAGCTGCATAGGCGTTCAAATTCTTGTAGCAGCATTTCCGTGGCTTCCTGCATCTCGGAGTGGGAGCAGAGAACACCTACTCAGCACAGCAAGCCTCCTGACAAGGGTGACAATGGCCTCCTTAGAGCCAGGAGTAGACTGCAGGAGCCAGAACAAACCAGGCCCTGGGTTATGTCAGAGAGAAGACGGGGCATGTGCTGGACAGGACTTCTGGCAGCTTCCAGCACTAGAGGGCCCCTAGAGCTAGAAGAGGACTTGTGCTGCAGGGTCAGTGTTCTGTCGCAGCTCTGGTTGCCCCTGATTGAATGGCTGGTAATGGTGGGCACTGCCATTCATGGCTGAGAAACATACTTCCCCACCATGGGAGTTGCAGACACAGAACAAGAGAACGGCTATCATTGGTAGAGCCGTAGATTCACACTTTTAAAAGCCAGGGGCTAATCTGAAGTAGCCTCTTGCTGCCCAGGCCAGCTTTCTCCCTGGGGTCAAGGTTCTCCATCAAGGCTGAACGGTCGTCCTGTGAGGTTCTGTTCCCTCTTCTTGCCATTTGGACACTATCCTGATGTCTTTACGTTAATTGACAATGTGTTTGTGCTTACATACTTGTTTACATGACAAATCTTTAATTTTGGGTAACTAGTTTGAATTAAACTAAGTAGAAATTAGCTTTTCAAATAAATCTCAAATTAAAAAAAACAACCCCTTACTTTGGAATTTCAAAGAAATTCCGATATCTTGCAGTGATGCCCTTAATAGTAAAGGCTGCAAGTCTTTAATAAAAATACTAAAGGCCACTTAGGCCTGAAGGGGTTTACTACTTTGCAGCTTGGGAACGGCTTACTATTCCCTGCCTTTTTTCTATGTTCAGAATCATCATATGTAGAAAGTGCACTATTTTGTATTTTATGTATGTGTGCATACATAAAATGATCTTTGAATGACTTCTGGGCCATCCCCTGCTATTCTGAATTGCTGGGAGATGCAAAGTGCATAAAAGCAGAACCTTTGGGGTCTGGCCTCAAAATGTGGCATTCTTTGCTCTCTTGGTGCTTCTGATTTCTTTGATTTTTGCCTGCTGAAGCCTGGAATGATCCTAAACTACTGACCCAAATTTATTGGTAGAAGGCTTTGGCTAATCTGCAGTTTGTGTGCTTGTTTTTCTCCTTCCTATAATACAAATAATTATATTGGAAGTGTATATAAGATTTCAGCAAATGTTGGGTTAGGGTTAATTTGCTCGACTATCCCTGGAAGATGCACTTCCCAGGGATAAGCTTAGGAAACTTGCCTACTAATTTTATACAATTCCTTTGGTGATCTCCCAGAATGCTCCTCCTGTTCGCCTTCGTCACAGACGGTCTCGCTCAGCAGGAGAGAGGTGGGTGGATCATAAACCTCCTTCCAATATCCAGACCGAAACAGTCATGCAGCCACAAGTCCCCCATGCCATCATGGTAACCTCTGCAAACGAGAAGGCACTGGCAAAGTGTGACAAATACATGCTGACCCACCAGGAGCTGGCCTCGGATGGGGAGATTGAGACAAAGCTGATCAAGGTAAACTGTTAGGCCGGCAAGGAGACTTTTGTTAAGAGTGCTGCCCTGGGAGCATCCTGTGTTGGGCATCCAGTTTCTCCAGAGGTCCTCCAAGAAAAAAGCACCTGTTTCTTTATTCTGCTACACATTGCAACCAGGGATGCTTCCCTACAATTTCTGGGGCTGTTGGGTGGAAGTGTTAAACTGGAGCAAGACTGTCTATAACAGTGTTGGCGAACCTTTTTCTCGTGGCGTGCTGGAAGTGTGTCTGTGCACGCGCAACAGCTCGCGCGTGTGCCAGCACCCATAATGCAATGTGAACCCTTCCACATGTGCATGCACCCACGATCCCCGCACTCCCCCCGCGCATGCGCCCCACATTGTGCATGCGCGTCCTGCACATGCGCTTTGCCTCCCGTGCCCTGTTTTGGGCTGGAAAGTCGTTATTCTGAGGGCGGTTCGGGGCTTCCTTGTCTCCCCACCCGAGCAGACTTCTGGCATAGCCCCAGGCCCCCGGGGGAGGGGAGGGAAGCCCCGGCCTGCTGCTCCTGCCGCCGCCCCCCCCTTGCCCCCAGCAAGAGCGGTTCTTGTGCTGCCACTTCTATGGCAGCACCAGGAGCAGCTGGCAGGGCAGAGGGGGCGGGGGCAGGCTGTGGTGGCAGGCCGTTCTCGCCGGGTAAGACAGGCTGCTCCTGGAGCAGTCAGGAGAAGGAGAAGCCGCCAGCGGGGAGGCGAGCTGCCCCAGGAGGACCAGAGGACAGCGCAGCTCCTCACTCATGGAGATCCACCAGCGGGGAAGTGGTCATGAAAAGCGGTAAGAGGTGCGTGAGCCAGGAAGTGGTCTGTTCTGCCCCAGCTATGGACCCCAAAGAACGCAGCACACACAAAGTCTGTACAAACCTCAGTTTACTAAAATAAAATCAGTTTTTTTTCCAAACAAAGGCTGTTAATTAACTTTCTTAACAGCCTGCAAGAATCCAAAGAATAAATAATCTTAATCTTACTTTGGTTGGCAGAAAGCCCAGAAGCAATTTGCAAAGAAATAAGATCGAGGTGCGAAGGAGAGTGAACGAAGTTGTTCCCTGCAAATTGCTTCAGTCGGCGTTCCTCCTTAAATAGGCTAAGGGAGTGGCCAATTAGCCCCAAGCCTTACTCTTGAGGAGACCTCCTCCTGAGGAGCCACTCCTGCCTTTTGGCAGCTCTGCGTGCCTGTGCATTGAGAAGAGGCTCCTCCTCTGTGTCCTCTTCACTTAAGGGAGGTTCTGAAGGCCCTGGCTGAATCCCTGCCTCTGGCACCACATCTTCTCCAGCCTCATTCTCCGACTCAAGTGCCAGCTGCACAGGCTGCTGTCGCAGCACCACACCAGCCTCCTCGCTGTCCGAATCAGCCACCAGCCGCACAGGCTGCGTACGGAGCACAACACGGTCATGCTCCATGGCATGGAGAGGGTTGCATGTTTACGCCGCCCCCCCCCCCCCCGTTTCAGTGACAGCTCTAGCAAGCAAGTAATATAAAGCGGAGGCTGACACTGAGACTCTGCTTTCCTTGGCAAAGCGCTTCATTGCAGCACAGGGGACGTGGGGAAGTGGTCGTGGTAAGAGGTGCGCCGGGCAGGAAGCAGTCATGTTCCCTGGCGGGAGAGGGTTGCACAAACCTTTCCTGGCGTGAATGTGTAACCCTCTCCTGCCAGGGAGCATGACCACTTCCTGGCTCGCGCACCTCTTACTGCTTTCCGCGACCACTTCCCCGCTGGTGGATCTCCATGAGTGAGGAGCTACGCTGTCCTTTGGTCCTCCCGGGGAAGCCTGCCTCCAGGAGCAGCCTGTCTTACCCAGCAAGAATGGCCTGCCACCAAAGCCTGCCCCCGCCCTCTGCCCCGCCAGCTGCTCCTGATGCTGCCGGAGAAGCGGCAGCACAAGAACCGCTCTTGCTGGGGGCAAGGGGGTGGCGGCGGCAGGAGCAGCAGGCCGGGGCTTCCCTCCCTCCCCCCAGAGGCCTGGGGCTATGTCAGAAGTCTTCTCGGGTGGGGAGACAGGGAATCCCCGGACGGGCATCCTTGCCACCACTGTCCCCTCGCCCCCAGCGGCAGCGGTTCTCGCACAGAACTCCCTGGCAGTGGCAGGAGCAGCTGGCAGGGAAGAGAGGATAGTAGCAGGCTGCGGCAGCAGGCCGTTCGCACCAGCTACGAGGCAGCGGCGGTTCCTCCTCCTGCCAGCCTCGAACTCTGGGCAGCGTCTAGCCAGCCATACATGGCCTCCCCCTGCAGCAGCCCATGTGGATCCCAGGCAGCGCAACTTCGGGGCCTTTCCTCATGGTGGCGGTGACCAGGCAGCCGGGTGCACAGGAGTGACTGGCGGCAGCGCTCCTGGCTGACAAAGGGTGGAGTCCCAGGGCTGCATGCGGGCGATGATGGCATGGCCGGTGTGCACGAGCGCTAAGACATTAAGGCCAGCTGATCGTCACATGCGCATGCGCACCCAGTAACCAGCAGACTAGCTGGCTGGTGCACATGTGTGCCTTGGAAACCCGGAAGAGGAATGGGCGACGCCACGTATGCCGAGCAACATGGCTCTGGGTGCCACTTCCGGCACGCGTGCCATAGGTTCGCCAATACGGGTCTATAATTTGTTACTCAGGGGTGTAGGCAAATAGTGGCATAAACCCAGTGGAGCTTTTGACTGACTGTGGGATTTATCCCTGTAACTGAGCTGCTTTGTACTTCTGGGGGCTCAGAAAAAAAGCCTTTTCTTCTAGCTTTACTTACATATGTATAAGAATGTAATGAAAATAGGTCATTATATTGTCAATTGTGCCAATAAAAATTCTCTGTTCAGAGATTTTCTTAAACAGATTTTGTTTTCAAAAGGGTGATGTTTTCAAGACCAGAGGAGGTGGACAAGCTGTTCAGTTCACTGAAATAGAGACCTTGAAACAAGAGTCACCAACAGGGTGAGGAGTCACATTCAACCCAATCGGTTTTGCCTTTTCATGTCTCAGTTCAATGGGAGTGGAAACTGATGTGATTCCTGGGTGTTAGTGGAGATGATACCAGGCTTTAATCTTTTGTGCATGACTGAATAATCTGGGTTCAGAGAACGGCCAGGACCTCCCGTGGGTATATTTTGCTTCTGGATAAAATTGTAAAAATGCAGAGTAAGCATATGAAATTGGAAATATCTCCAGGTTACTATAAAATAAGGACAGAGTTGATTGATGCCAGTCTTTCCTCTCCCCTTAGTCTGTGCCTGGGTACTTTCAAGCAGGGGATTGACCTCAGAATTTTCAACCCTGCCTCTGAACTGTTTCAAATCTTAACAACCTTTTCTATACCTAACCCACCGACTCTTCCAGACGCAAGCGGCGATCGTCTCCCTCAAGCCCTCGCCCCCCTGAGGAGGCTTCCGAGTCAGAATGGACTGATGTAGAAACACGGGTAAGTCAGGAGTATCTTTGGCAGAGGGTGGGATGGGGGCTCCCGAGTCGCCTCCTGACAGCTTTGCCTGCCTTTTTTTTTTGGCCAGTGTTCAGTCGCAGTGGAGATGAAAGCAGGTTCCCACCTTGGGCCTGGCTATCAACATCATGCTCAGCCCAAGTAAGTTCTCCGTGTCCCTCTCAGCCTGCAGGCTTTCTCCAATGTTGCTGAGAGAGGCTGGGTACCTGACAAGATCTGGGCGCTGGTGTGGGAGACGGGTAAAGAGCTAGTGCTTAGGACTGAAAATAGACTTCACTATTGAGGTTTGGCCTCTTGCAGATAAGTGCTGGCTATGCTGTGGAAGTGATCTGTTCAGCTCAGGGAAGAACGCTGACAGTTGTGCAAGGCAGGAAAGAGGGCATCCGAGGTAAAAAGAGGTCAATGCGAGTTCTTTAAAGTAAAAGGCAATCGTCAGCATTCAGCTAAACCTGCCAGTTAATGGTTTTCTAGCTACAGGGAGGGCTGGCTAGTACAACCTGCTTGTCTTCCATGCAAGTCTCTCTGGTGGGCCCGAGTTTCTGTTTCTCACACTCCTTTCACTCTATTATACAGTGGTTTGGACTCTAAGTCTTTCTGGGATGCTGACTCTTCTTGGCACATTATTCCATTTGTCTCCCTGAGCCAAGCTATGACCCCGGGACAATGTTCAGAGAACACAAGGCAGTAGAAGATAGATGTGTTGGTGACCAAACACTGAGGAACAGTGCCCACTCCTCTGAGGGAAGAGAGTCCTGTGCCAGAGGGTTGCTCTGAGAATTGAAACACCTCTCAGGGTCACTGCTGGGAGGGAAAATTGGATTTCAGTCCAATTTTAAGCTCTCTGTTTGTATAGAACTGCAGACTTTTTGATCATGATTGGGGATAACAGTCTTGTCCTTTCTTTGCAGACGCAGGAAACCCTGAAGCTTTGAGATTTCTGCTGGAAACTTTTTCAAATAAAGTTTCAGGCTACATAGCTGGCTATGCTAGAAAGTGACAAAAGGGAAATTAAATAAAAAGTGCCTCTCTTGATCCTCATCTACATCATGACTTTGAGGAAGATGGTGACTTCATTTTATTATTTTATGCATTTCTCTGTCTCCTTGCAAAGTTTTTACTCCATTTTTCTTCTTGTACTTCAACACTTGTTTCCATGCCTGCTTTTAGGGGACAATGTATTAGACTGTTGCTATTTATTTGTCATCATGCACTTTAGTATCTCTGGGTAGTGTTTTGAATTTTGCATTTAGAAAGAGCTGTCTTTTGGGTTTCCTTTAAAACCCAGGAGCTTTCCCCAGGAACGTTGTATATAGGAGACAGCTTTGTTTCCTGTCTTATAATTGAGCTAATAGGAAGATTCTTTGCTATACAGAATTTCAGTGTATTCACGATGATTAGAAACTTTGTAGTGACAGATCCACAGCTGTTGTGACTTTTTCAACTGAATTTGCAAATAAAAAATTCATAGCTTTCTACATTCAGTGCCCTTTCTGATCTGCCCTGGCCATATTAAGAGGAAGGATCTCCATTTATTCAGAGCATGGAACGGGTCCTGTTCCTTTCACACTCATTCTGTGTAAACACATTCTGAAGGCCAAAATATTCACAAGTTTATGCAATGAAAAAGTTTTAAAACTTCAGGTAGCATCCACAAGCCACACCATTGAAAGGAATTGTAACTGTGCTGCTGCCATTGTTACGAGGGAGACCTTCTGTGTGAACCAATCTCCCATTTGGATGCAGCCTCCTCTTGTCCCTGACACAGATGCCCAGGCTCTCTGCCCCCAAGGCTTGATAGGGAGATAGGTTTGAGAGTGATGTGTAGTCCTCCTAATAGGGAACTTGAATCTCAAAGGTTCTCTACTTTGCCTTGAAAAACAACTGATGGCCCAGTTGAAGACTGCCATTTTGTAATCTTTCTAGTTGCTCCAATCTCAGTAGAAGACTAGATCAGGTAACCCAACGGTCGCCAACAGGGCTCCGGCCTGTTCAAAACAGGCTGCAGTAGAGATGGGCAAGCATGTGTAAATGAAGCTCGATTCGTGCAAGCCAAGGGGACTTACGCTGCACACACAGCTTCCATTCGTGCGAATAGCTGAAACAACTGATGAAATGCTTGTTTGGGTTATTTCTATTAAATACAATCTTTAAACTATTCCTCTGATTTCCATGTCATGGTGACTTGTACTGCCAAATCTTTGAAAGCCTGATTTTTAAGTGTCACAAAATAAAATCCTTGACTTGGTTGTAATCTAAATAAATTGCTCCAAGTAGCCTCAAACCACAAAATGGATGGCATTTACAACCTCTCAACATTAGCAATATATTTCATATGATGTAGCAAAATGCAGCATAATTCATAAAATTCACAGAAATAACATAAAATGTGTATCAAAATATAGAACACCAGAGTAGTGAATTATTTTAAAAACACTGTGAGTGATGAATGAAATTACAAATAAAATTAAATTATGTATGAGCAGTTACTAGAGTAACTTAACCTATGGCCAGAAATTTAGACCGCTTAGCCCACCAGTGCCAAACTTGCTGCGTCACGTCATCACATGACGTTTCGTGATGTTTTTCCCATTCACGGAGCTGGGGGGAGGGCATGCCCTGCGCATGTCACATCTGGCCCGTGGGTTGCCAGTTTGACACCCCTGGTTTAGCCATTTAGCCAGCAATGCCTTCAAGATGATGTATTTCATGCACGGATCCAGGGAACCTTCTCAGGGTGCTTTCTGCTGCAATATGATATAATTTGTGGGACATCCCCATAGTCAGGATTATCAATCAGTGCCCATTTATATTTCCAATATTGGCATCTGCCATGGTAAGTTTGGACCTGGTTGAGCACTGTTCAGATTTTCTATGGGAGATCAAAGCTGAAGGGGCATTTTAGTGGCTCAGACAATTAAACAACTGGGTTAGCAGTTGCCCACTCCTGGCGCCATGCTTATCTCAATGTCAAAGTCTTCTCTGTCTTCTCATTACTGTTCAGGTTTCCATGGCAAAGACCAAAATTTGGGTCTGAATATTTGATTGTGACAGTCCTCGTGTATAGGTGATAATCAGTTTGCCTCATATTTTGCCACTCCCTTTTTAAGGCTGTCTCCTAAGATGTGGAGGTGGTATGTTAGATAATACTGGTAGCCATTTTGAAGGCGTCTGTCCTGCCCCAGCTGCTTTCCCTCAGGAAAGCAAACCTCTTGACTCCATTGAGTTGAATCAAAAGAACTTTTACTGAGAGAAAGTGGTTGCAGTAAAGTCAGGCAGAATCTGAAGGTCCCGCGCAAAACACAAAGCAATCCTTCCATTTCCCCAAACCAAAGCCCCCTGACCACTCCACAGGCAGCCAATGTGATGCCACAAGGTTGCTTTCAGAACTGCAAGGGGCTAGGCAGATAACAGTTCACTCTCAGGGCACAACGGCCTTGGAACCAGGCTGGGATGGAGTCTATTCTGTTTCCACAGACAATCCTCCTCCCTAATTCCCAAGCAGTTACAGCAAAAGCATCCAAAATTTGCCATCAAGCCTTTCTCCTTCCAACAGAATGGCAAGACATAATACTGGACCTGACATGTTGCTCCCCTGAACAGTAACACTAGCCCTGTAGAACAAAACAAACAGGGAGAGAAGAAACACAACAGGAAAGATGTCATTTGGTTTTGTCAGATTAGGGAAGAATTTTTAGGGGCTCAACGTACTCATTGTGAGCTGTTGGGAAATCTTTCCAGGCCACTAAGTACTGAAGGGTACTTAGGAATCCAGTGTCTCTCAGATTTCAAAATGCTGCTGCCCTTCTATCATTAATGGATCAGAGGTAAGCTGAAGCTTAGGTCTAAGGGTGTCAGCTGTCCAGCTAGCAAATCCAAATCAAGAACTCTTGGGCCATTAGTTCTTCCCAAAAAGTAAATGTTATTAAATACACTATTGGCACAGTAGAAGTGAAACCAATTCTAAAGTTCCTGTGCAAAAACCCACATTGTTAAAACTTATTTTCCCCACTGCCCATCCCCCTCAGTTCATTGCGTTGTCCAATCAAATAAGCTCCTCTTGTTATGAGAATGGCCTGCCTTGTTCAAACACCTGCGCATCATGACATTGCGGTTGGTAGCAGGGTCTCGCAATCTGCAGATAGTCATGGCATTCCTTCCTCCCCAGACATTCCAACATTCCTGATTGTTGTCAAGCTGAGAGCAAAGAAGTAACTAGGTGAAAGAGTGATTTACTCTTGACATGCTGACCCCCCAGAAAAAGGATGCATTTGTAACCCATGTAAATATACATAATCATGAGAAATTCCCCATTGTACAAAGTATTCATCTCACTGGCTGGTTAGAGTGGTGTTGTCGAGCCTCGGTTGGGTCTCGCCATCACTAGGGAGGACGACGAGGAGGGGGCAAGCTGTTGGACTCTCCGGGGGCGTGTCATCAGCTGTTTGAGAAGTCTTTACCACCCGCACACAAAACGAAGCAAACTCTTTCATCGGAGATGGGGGGGGCATGGTGTTTGCAGATGACGCTGCCTTGTGCTGTAACAGAGGCGCGCTCCTCCTACAGGCCAGCTTGAGGAAGGAGGGATGATGTTGACTGTTTGATTGTTAATTGATTTATTGTGCTCCTCCTTCAGGCCAGCTAGGGGAAGGAGGGGTGATGTTAACTGTTTAATTGCCACTTGATTTATTGCTGTGTATATAAAAGGCGCTACACTGCGATTGCGTGTAGCGCTAACTTTAAACCTTGTTTCCAGCTTGTGCCTTTCTCCTGCCTGTGTTTGCTGTGCTGAACCTAATTAAGGGATTGCAACTGCTTTATTCCGTTCTGGTGTTGGCTTGTTTCCAGTGCAGTTGGGTGGACTGGCCGAGAGGTGTAGTCAGAACAATCTTGATCTGAACACACTCAAAACTGTAGAGATGATAGTAGATTTTAGGAGAAGCCCTTTTATTCTACCTTCACTTGCAATACTAGACAACACAGTAGTATCAACAGTAAAAACCTTCAAGTTTCTAGGTTCTATAATATCTCAGGACTTAAAATGGACATATAACATCAAAATGTCATCAAAAAGCACAACAAAGAATGTTCTTCTTGTGCCAGCTCAGGAAGCTCAAGCTGCCCAAGGAGCTGCTGATTTTCTACAGAGGAATGATTGAGTCTCATTTGCACCTCTATAACTGTCTGGTTTGGCACAGCAACCGAACAAGACAGACACTGATTTTATAGAGAAAATGCACTTTGGGGAATATTTTTCACAATCAATTAGAGCGATATACCAGCAGCAAACCGCACAAATTATAGTTAATGGAGGTTTAACAGAGGCTTTTAAAATTGAGAAAGGAACAAGGCAGGGGTGTCCTCTGTCCCCACTATTATTTATTTTGACTCTGGAGGTACTATTGAATAAGATACGTGATTCATAAAAGTTGAAGGGTATTGTAATTAGACAACAAGATTATAGATTAAGAGCATTTGCAGATGACTTGGTTATTACTTTATCCCAACCTATAGAGTCAGTTCCATATATATTGGATATAATTGATCAGTACGGGAAAGTATCAGGATTTAGAGTCAATTCACATAAGACAAAGATGATAGTTAAAAATATGACTATACTTGAAAGAGATAAACTAGTAAGATTAACAGATTTTGAAATAGTTAAAAAGGTTAAATATTTAGGGGTATACATAGCAGCTTCAAACACAAAATTATACAAAAACAATTATGAGGTACTTTGGCAGAAGGTACAGAAGGATATGGAAAATTGGAAAAAATTACAGTTGTCTTTATTGGGTAGAATTGCAGCAATTAAAATGAATGTTTTACCTAGATTTTTATTTTTGTTCCAAATGATACCTGTGCTTAAGAAAGATGAAAATCTGAGAGAATGGCAGAAAGGTGTTAATATTTTTATTTGGGCTGGGAAAAAACCCAGAATAAAAATGAAAATTATACAAGATACACGTGAAAGAGGGGGTCTTAAAATGCCTAATTTAAGATTATATTATGAAGCAGCGGTCTTATCACAAATTAGTGATTGGTTTAATTTAACTGAGGGGAGAAATTTGAATTTAGAAGGTTATGATTTGTTATATGGATGGCATGCTTATTTGTTATATGATAAAAAAGTGGATAAAGTATTTAAGGTTCATATATTAAGAAATGTTTTGTTGAGGGTTTGGAAAAAATATCAATATAAGTTAAATTATAAGATACCTGTATGGGCAAATCCTAGACATGCAATAGAAAATATAAGTATAGAACAAAAACAGGAGGTGATTACCTATAAAGAGCTTCTTATTATGGAAAGGGGGGTAATGTATTTGAAATCTTTAGATACACTGAGAGAAGAAGGTATAATTTATACATGGTTTCAGTATGGTCAACTTCAAGCTAGATGGAAGGAAGATCAAAAAACCCTCATCAAAATGAGGAGAATTTGGTAAAACAAATTAGAGATCAAAAACAAATGCATATTAAAAGGTTGTATAACGTTTTATTGGAAATAGATTCTGAGACGGAATTGGTTAAAGACTGTATGATTAAATGGGCACAAAATTTTCAAGAGCCAGTAATGATGGAGACTTGGGAAAAGATTTGGATTAGAAATGTGAAATTTACACAAGCACAAAATCTAAGAGAAAATTTTTATAAAATGTTTTATAGATGGCATTTAGATCCTAAAAAATTATCATGTATGTATTCTAATGTGTGAGCTAAATGTTGGAGATGTGACTGTGATGATGCAACTTATTATCATATATGGTGGACTTGTAGTAAAATCAAAGCATTTTGGATAAAGATTTGGTGGGTGATGCAGAATATTTTTAAAGAGAGACTGAAATTTACTCCACAGTTGTTCTTATTGGGTATAACTACGGACTGTACAGTTGCAGAGACTAAATTGATTTTGAACTTGATAACAGCAGCAAGATTGTTGGTAGCACAACACTGGAAGAAGGACTTTTTGCCTACTATTGATGACTGGATATTGAAAGTAACTAATTTAGCTGAAATGGCTAAAATTTCAGCATATCTGAAGGATCACACACAAGAAAGGTACATACAGGATTGGAGAAGATGGATTGATTATATACAAAATAAGTATCAGACCAAAAAATATCAAATAGCTTACGAATGATTTCTTTTATTTGTAT